TTTTTTTAAAAAAAATTTTTCTTTATTAATTTCCAAAAAAAAAGTTTTTTTGAATATTGAAAAAAAAATCGATTTTTAATTTTAATCCTAGCTAAAGTTCTAAAGCTCACTTCAAATAATTAATTTTAACTTCGCTATTCAGTTTATATAATTCTTATAAATATTAGTACATATATATAAGTTACAGTATTTATAATATTATATTTGAAAACATTTAATATTCCTCGAATATTTCATTACACTACGGGAAATCTCAGCAATTTGCTTTAAGGCACGATGCCATACTCCACTAGCTTTTTCAACTATTTCATTCTCAACGAATATTATCACTCTGCAAATTAATATGCAATATTATGTAAAAAATATGACTCATAATGACTCATTTATTTTTATATAATTTAATTTTTTTTCTTTATTTTTAAAAATTGCATTTTGAAACAGCTATACACCCCGCTGAGAGACAGCGCCCCACAGATTGGAAGCCACGGCGTTAAACGATAATTAAAGCAAATAGAAGTATTTGGAGCGTTCTCATATTGTCATTGATCAAAAATCGAATAAGATAAATATATTATAGTCTCTGTGGTGTTTTATCATATAAGTTGCTTCGTTATAGTTTTTTTACTACTTGAATTTACAATTTTAATGTGCCATCATAATATTGCACTTCACATGCACTTGACAAACAATTGGCTTCCGGTAAAAGTTAAATTATTAAGCTTAGTTAACTTGTTATTATTATTTTTATTATTTCTTTTTAATTTTAACGTTTGTAAAAAATGTAATTACTGTTAAAACAAATTATTGCCAACAATAAAACTATATCTAATTATTAGCAAAATATCAACAGAACATTATATACGTCTTATTCTACTGACAATGCGCGAGTAAAGCCTAATGTTACAAAAAATTTCATCTTGATTATTTTAATAAATGATACAAAGAAATTGAAAAATGCATTTAAAAAATCTATAATACAATAAAAAATGTGATTTTTAGTAGTATTATAATAAAAATAAAAAAAATTACATTTCAATTATTCTTAATAGAATATCTAAATTCAAACTATTTGTTAAGGTTGAAAAAAAAAATATTTTCAAAAAGAAAAGCAATTTAAATTTCACGAACAGTTTTCTAAAGAATAATGTAATGCAAAATCGAATACTTAGGTGTACGCATATTCAGGTATAAAGTAATTAGGAAAATATTTGCTTCATAATAAGTATGGTATTTAAATAATTTACAATATTGTTTTAGGTAGAACGTACTTCTTAAAACAGATTCGTAAAAAGATTGCAAATATACGAAAAGAAGTAATTTTACTGTAATGTTGCACCATTGTAAAAGTATATAATTAAGGTAAAAAAACTCGACCTTCCAGAAGCACTAACCCAATACTACTTATCGTATCCGCCGATGTAAAACCATGATACGTAAAATTGACGAGATGCAATCATGAAAAGAACGTTTCAAAATCTTTTACACAATTACATTTTTGGCAAGGAAACCTATTGGAAATCAATAGAAATATGATTATGGTCTTGGAATTTTTGTAACAACAATACGTTATGTTATCCGAAACAGTAGCGGAACAAATTTTCAGCATGCTCGTTACACTGACACAAATCAGACTAATGTTGCGAATTCCAAGATATGACATGAGATTATTTCTATACCATACCAATTGATTAGGATGATGAGAGATGATCGAGCTTCGACGAAAGGCATATTGTTGAATTTAACGTCGCCTTCGTTTTATTGCTTTTTTTTTTATTCCCGGTCAGTTTATGTCCTTTAAATGCAAACGAGGTCATTGAGACAACGCGAGCCGGCTCAACGGCCAGCGGCTCGCGATACTGGTTTTTACTACCAAGCCTGCAAATTTTGATGTCGATGTAGAACCGCATCTTTAGGACGCGTTTCCATGCACGACACGATAAAAGGAAACTGAGTCCTCTTCATAAAGTACTAAACTAATATAGAAAAAGATAGAATATTTTTTAAAATATTTCAATAGAATGTAAAGTACCAAAAAGCTACTTGTATTTTGTATAAAGATGTTATTTCCAGACTACTTCTCTACTAACGTCAATTGTTGTTGAATTGCTGATGAATTAACCATATCGGGACATAAATTAATGCGGATATTGTCTGTCGAAGAATTTTATTTTGAAAACATTGTAATATTTGTAAATTGCTCATTTTGGCACATCCCATTGTTGGGAAGCCATACATCCAAACCGGTTTGAGAATGACCTTTAAGATTTTTGTCTAAGTACATCCCCAAGCACTTCACGTGATCTCGCATTGGAATTGTTTATTATAAATTGTAACATGCGGGCATGTACCTTTCCTAATGTAAATATTCTAAATATGAACCGATTTGGAGTTAATTGTGAATCTCCACAATTCAAACCAATTTTCAATAACATTTAAGGGTGTAAAGACTGCTCGGTGATAAAGATGATATTAGATTTTTATTCCATAACAATTTCTTCCAAATCATATTAAATCAAAATCACAAGTTCTGAACAATAATATAACTATTTAAATTTAAATGTCATGAAACCAAAGATTTGGAGCGATATTTTGATTTTTGTTGCAGTTTGAAACAATATCTATAACCAATACCAGCCATAAAAATATGTGAATCAAATAAATTGTATGGTTGCAAATTGCAACTTGCAATCTATCGTCTTAAAAAATTACGTACTCCCGGTCAACGATACACTTTGGCAAAATAATTCTATTCAACCATGGGAACACGTCTTCATGGTTACGAGCGCATATTTGTATATACATAATCTTTTCTATGTAAATAATATGCAAATTCTAGTATCTCCCGCGATAACTATGAGCCAATATCATGATGTTGCAGGCGACCGCATGTGTGGCATGGACATTGCCAATAACATTAGACAAATTATATTAAGAGCAACGTAATAAATGTCTATGATTGTATATTAAATTGCTGTAAATAGATAAGATGCCATTAATTCTGATTTTTTTGTAAAAGGCCGATAATGAATGAAACAAGCAAATGTACCACACAGGTGATAATAGTAGTTCGAAAAATAATGAAAAGACTTTTGTCTTCTACAGTTAATCATAAATGGCATTGAGAATAATAAGTTTTTTAAAACATTATTATAAACAGTTTAATAAAAAACTATAAAATAGGAAATAAACCCTAATGCACCATGCAAATGCACAGTTTAAGGAGTTTCCATTTCGAGCAAATTCACTTTTTTGGAATTGTGCGAAATACATGTATAAATATTAGCACTCTGAGGATGAAGTTTAATTAATGAAAAAAATTTTTTTTTTTTAATTCTTTGTAATACGCTAAATATCTCTGCTCATTTGAAAATGTCTATTTATCTCACTTTTGCACAATATTTCCATAGCGTGATCGTTCCCTGTCGAAGTGATTATGTTTTTTATAAACGCTTTCAGCTAAAATTTAAATCAAAATTCAAAGCTATGTAAAATTTCTATTAGGGTACAAGTTACTTGATAGTTTTTTTTAGCCCTCATACATAATTTTATATTTTATAGCATAATCTACTCAATAAAAAAATCATAATATTGATTTATCATCATTTGTTACATAGCAATGCACAAAAAAAGCTATTGTCAATGAAAACATATTTTTGATCTATGTTTACAAGTCGATTTTGTTTGTGAGGCAGTCGGATCTGAAGTTATTCAAATATAGACGAGAAAGAAATAGCACATGGTTTCACATTAAAATTTACCTACACGGGTGAAGAGTTGACTGAAGACAAACTATTTTCGTGGTTAAATCGATGTTTTCCTCAAAATCAAAATATTTTATATGCACGATTAGCAAAGCGAGAAAGAAGTGATTATGTTTATAAGTAAAAATGGACATCGCTGTTGCATGATATCAGATTGCCACAAGGCGGTTAATAACATATGCGCTTTTCAACTTTACGTAGGGTAGGGTAAGTAGGTAATTCGAAATTGTTTACATATCTTTACGTTTCAAAGGTTTCTGAACATTTTGGCATACCTTAGACAAAATTGATGTGTGTGTATGTGTGTATTTGCATGGTTAGTATGTGTGTGTGTAGTGTGTGTGCAGTGTGGATTTTGCGTCGACATTTTCGGGAGCATCGATTAACAGATTAGAATTATTCAACTACAAAGACAGAATCAGCCGTTTCGGAAAGCAAGGAATGCAAAAAATAGAAATTGAGTTTTTGAGAGAATATGGAATTCGATTTGAATGAATCAAAAAACATTCAATTTACAATTATGGAGAGACGTCACGATTAGTTTATGGCAAACATAGGTCGAACCGTTTCGGAGATACAGAGCTAAAACATTTGAAAATCCTCAAATATTTCATTGCGGTACGGGAAGATCCAGTAACTAGCCTGAATGAACAAATTCCTTGCACTACTAGTTAAAATTCAGATGAATTGAAGGTAAATTCTAAAGTTAGTCTGATATTGTACATTAATTATTTGCCACAAGTACTATACAGTTTTGTTTTAATAAATCACTTGTATTTGCCAAATGCCATTCGGACTGGTGCCCTTTTCTCCTTGAGCAAGCAGGTGGGAACAAGAATCAAATACAAGGAAATAAAATCAGTAAAAATAATAATGATTGAATTATTAACCTTTAAAAGATTGAATTAAAACCTTTAAAATAATATATATTTTACTTCAAAGACATTCGAATACAAATTTAAACTATTGAGTTATATTAATTTGTAGGTTCTAATAATAAGTAATTCCATTCATGTATCAAATCAAATCAAGTATGTCCAATATAGCATAAGTAAAACCAGTATTCTTATGTCTTTGAATAATGCCTTAATTAAAAAATCACATAACTAACAAATTATTTATGCAATATCACAAAATATAAATAATTCGTTGCTTGAGCATTTATTATTTATAGAAAGCAATATAAAACATTGCACATTAACAAAATCCTTATCCTCATTTTTAATAAAAACAACTTACTTTAAAATAATTCCACAAACACAAACACAAAATTAAATTATCATAAACACTATAAATCAATTTATCACAACTGTTTTCGCAAATCGCTTTAACAGCAAAGGATTCCACGCAAATTATATTATTCATAAGGCACTTATCATTTGAGAACAAGAATTAGGGCATTCCCTTTAAATCATATTGCCGGTAACGTTTCTTTCAACTGACGGAAGCAATAAAATCAAGAACGACAAAGCGCGAAAAAATAAGCAACGCGCACTCGACACTTCGAAACGCAACTGAAGCACAGGTTCCATTAAACACCAGCATTGTTTCATGGAGAACATCGTACAAGATCGGAACACTTCGCCGTCGTTTACCGCAATAAATTGCAGAGCTCACTCTTACGGCCATCAACAACGACAAGAACAGTCGATTGAGTCGGTATATCAACCTATCAACCTATGCTATAAACATAAATATGGAAACAATATCAATATCAATGTTGAGTAATGCAAGTAGAAACCCTTTGTTGTCCATTACTAGTTTTTGTCTTCTGAATTTTTAGGTAGAATTAGAGGCCCTAAAATATAAGTTCCCGCTAAACATAACAAAGTAAGTCGTCCATCGATGTCCGTGCTGTAACAAAAGGACGATATATGTCTGGCGCAAATCCGAATCACCAGAAGATTTCGAACTAGTTGTACGTTTATGTGTGACCATACATATAAAGTGCGTAACACAAATCACGTTATACGTCATAAGGTCATATCGCCTATCTTGCGTCGCGCAAATCACATGGGGACATCGACTTTAGGCCGAATCTGATAAGAACAAGCTGCGGTAGCAATCTGCATACTACAAGCTTGGCTATGGGGTGGCGACATCACACCAAAAAGGCACGACTTTGAACACAAAGTGGTGACCACATCGCGTGTTTCGGGATTGTATATACATTAACTATTTAAAAGAAAAAGAAAAATTAATCTTCTTGTTTAGTTTTAATTTGTAGAGCTTAACTTAATAAGTTCTGTAGAACTTAACTGATCTCCAAGAAATAAAGATTTATTTTAAAAATATGTAACTTAGTTTCTCAAAATTAGGTTTGTTTTATATAACCTACTTTTTATAGTTTTTTTCAATGTGTCTTTCCCAGCAATAAATATTAGAGCATATCATGCTTGTCTCATATATAGAATACTAGTAATCACATTAATTATTTTTTTATTGTTAGATTGGGGTCCATTTATTCACGTTATAGATTTTTTAAGGATTTTTGGATGTCCCTCCTTCTTGGTGATACGTCTTGATATTGACCCCTCCTCTCCCACCAAATATCACGTGTATTTTTAGTTAAGTAAAATTCTTCCAAAGTAATCGTTTTTTTGAAAATCTAGATAAAAAATAAATTCACGTGATACCTTACTAGACCCTCCCTTTCCCACGTGATTTTTTGTCAACAATACAATACCTATTATTCTGCATTTTTTGCTAAAATTAAATGTTTGCACACATTTGCAAATATTCTGATAAATATACCTTCAGACGTCCAATTGAGGTAGATCAAATGAATATGTACGAGAAATGAATAGTTATCTAAGTATATAAATTAAAAATTATGATTATTAATATTCATAAATCATATCCATGATTGAAATTATTTAATATTCTGAATTATGAATATTAATAGTTAAGCACGTTCCAATATTACCACTTTTTTCAGTGTAAAATATACGCGTGTGATGTGACGCATTTTGATTAAGATTGTCTAATTAAGTTCTAATTAGAGTTCTGTTGAGTCAATTTATTATGAGTGCTTTTCGTTAATGATTAATCTGTTTAATGATGAAATAATGATATATGATAACGATATTGAAATTATCACGCACGCCCACATGTAAGATTCCAGAGAAGAATTCTATTGATTAAATGTTATAAATACTTAATTGCATTCTTATTGGTAAAAACTATTTTGTGGTTTTCTTCTTTATTTTCTATTTTCTTCCTTACATAATATTCGTGAAATTATTAAACAATTAATTTAGAAAGAATAAGACACTTAATTATAAAAACATTATCATTTTTATTATCCGCACAACAATTTCTTACAGTCACAAACCAACTATATTTTTGATTTCAATGAGATTGATTTATAATAAAGCATATTTCTTCTTGCATATTTCAAGCTGATAATCTTAATGAATGATTTCACTAACCCCGTGTCTAGGGGAGACGAAGCAATTGAAAGTTTAAGTGAAGACATGAACTAGTGGTGAATGACATCGTGCCTTAAGGCAAATTGCTGCAACTTTCCGTACCAATTTTTTTTTTAAAAGATTAACATTTTTGAAAAAATTTTACTTTGAAAAAATTAGATTTTTGTGAAACTTTAAATTTTTTACAAAAATTTACCTTTTTTGAAAAAAAAATGTTTTTTTTATTTCGAAATATTTTGGAAATTCTGAACTTTTTTTCAAATCAATCGTACTGCTTTAACTGCATGAAGATGAAATATCGAAGCGCGTAAGCGCCGCGTCGCCTCTAACGGACCAACGATGTTACGGAACCCATATAAATGTAAATAAAATTTATACGTATTATTAAAATCGCCATAAAATATCTGATAATTTGATGTGTCTATATCTAATGATCATTTTTGACCGCCAAGTTTCTTTTTTTTACTTTTTTCACTAGATCTGCCTTCGCAAAAATTTAATCAGTTCTTAATCTTGTTAATACAAATAAAATGTTTTTCGAATTATTAAAATCGGACGCTCCGTTCTCCTAAAAACTGAGTTACCGTTTGTGGCACTTTTTGCCCCGTATCTTCGAAACAGCTAGATCTGCCTTTGCCAAAAATTAATCAGCACGTCTCCTTATCAATAGCAATCGAATGTTTTTTGAATAATTGAAATCAGTTGAACCGTTTTCCCAAAATCGTCGACGAAAATTTGTATCCGCACACACACACATACATCCATTTTTTGCAAGGTATGCCAAAATGTTCAGAAACCTCTGAAACGTGAAAATATATACAAATTTTCATTTTCGGTTTTTTATGCGATTACTATAACTATAAAGTAGGGTAACTAAGGGAAGTTAATTAAGTTTACTTCAATCCAAACCTCATCTTAACACAAAACTACGTACTAAAATGCTATTGCATGTATATATCTAACATATGTTATCTCCCTAATTTGTATTATGTCTTTAATTAAAAGCATACGTTTACCACGACATCTTTTATTTCTCCTTTTCCTGTGGTTTTCCTTTAAACGTACCTTCATGGTCGACTTCTTCTTGGCTAATGCGATTAATGCAAGTGTAGTGACTGACATTTGACACGTAGTACTGAATGATCCAAACCTAGGTATTCCTTCTCGGATTTTTTGGTTATATTACACATTTTGATATTCATGAGACCGCATGAGAGTTGAAGCTGACAGCACTTATATTTAAGAATAGGTAATTTTTATAAGCTAGTTAAACGTGTGTTTCAATGAAGTATCGATAATTCTTTTATTGTGTACATCTTCTGGAGATTATTATCTACCATTTAAATACATCTCTGCAGCTTTGCGATAAGGCGCAAGCTTGACGCGAATCCTATGTTTTTTATTATTGCAGCTGCTATGAATCTCTAATGTTAATGACGTTATGCTTATATGGAATATTACAAATATTGATAAGATATTTTTTCAAATAAAAAAAATCATGTCAAACATATAAATGGCAATGCGATCAATACGAAAGATCAGTATAGTTTTCAGCATAGCCATGAGAGATATTTCTAGTCAAAATTTCAATTGTATATCTCCTTCACCCACTCAAAGAAGAATGGGCGGAAGGTAAGAACTGATTATTGGCTTCATATTGTGAATCAACTTAACATTAACCGCTTGTTCATTAGTTTAGACTGTTTAGCTTTATTTAGAATTTTTTGTTTATTATGCAAATGTTACTCCAGTTGTGGCAGGTACTCTGTTTACATTAGTACTGTTGAATTTAACATTTACTGATTAACATTTGAACTTGAACTTTTAGATAAAAAGTATTGTTTCGAGTTTTCTTTGAATATAAAGGTTGTAATATGTGTTTTGTTGATGTTAGATTTTATTAACAAGCTAGTGAAAATATCATTCTTTTATTAATGGGCAATATCATATTGGTTATTTCATAACTGTGAGAGTCCTCATTTTTTCATTGTTAATATTAAACAAATATTTTTCTTTGTAGAATGTATCTAGAATACATATAAAATATAAATAGCTTTATTTCATATATTGTCAATATAGTAATACTGTCTGTATTATGTTGATTTGTGTCCGTTATTAGTTGCCCTTCGCATTCCTAATAGATAATGTCTTTTACATTTTTTTTAAAGGAAAATGGCAAAGTTAATTGATGGTAAGAAAATTGCCAATGAAATCCAGGAAGAACTGAAAAAGGAGATCTTGAAATGGTGTGATGCTGGAAACAGAGCACCTCAATTAACTGCAGTGTTAGTAGGGGAAGATCCTGCAAGTGATACATATGTTAAAAACAAAATGAAAGCGGCACAGAATGTTGGAATAGATAGCATAACGATAAAAATTCCAGCTGATATTTCTGAAAATGAGTTACTGCAGAGAATTGAAGAATTGAACAATGATCACAGTATTGATGGAATATTGGTAAAAACAATTGAGTATTGAATACGCATATGTGATGAATTGTACTAATTTCTGCATTTTTTCTTTCTGTTATAATTATAATTATTTATGTATTATTTTAGATACAACTCCCATTGCCCCAACATATTAATGAAAGAAATATTTGTAATGCGGTCAGTGCAAGAAAAGATGTAGATGGCTTTCATGTTGAAAATATTGGAAAGTTCTGTTCAGATATGAATTCATTTATTCCTTGTACACCATTAGGTGTGCAAGAGTTAATTAAAAGGTACATTTTGTTTAGAGATGAAGTAAAAAATTTAACCTGAGTACAATATTACAATGTCTGATGGCGATTTATCACTAGAAAGTAATAAATCCTTATATCAAAATTTTTTGTTCAGATCAGGAATAGAGACATTTGGAAAAAATGCAGTTGTAGTAGGTCGTTCTAAAAATGTTGGAATGCCAATGGCTATGCTCCTTCATGCTGATGGTAGGAATGAAACACATGCCATGGATGCAACCACAACAATTTGTCATAGGTTTACTCCACCCGAGCAGTTGGCCATGTTTTGTAAAACTGCTGACATCGTAGTCACAGCAACCGGTAAGAATTGTTTTTTCTGCTACTTTATTTTATCTCATGCAGCCCATAGATCTTCAGTAGTAAAATTGTGTAGCAGTCCTTTTTTTTTTCAAAAAGCTTTTTGTAACTGTTTTTTCTGACACTTTTTGTAAATAATCTAAATATTCAGGTGTTCCTGGTCTAATTAAAGCGGACATGATTAAACCTGGTGCAGCTGTGATTGATGTTGGAATAACAAGAATACAGGACCCAGTCACAGGAAAAAATAAGCTTGTCGGTGATGTTGATTTTGATGCTGCAAAGGAGGTTGCTGGGTACATCACACCTGTGCCAGGTGGAGTTGGCCCGATGACGGTTGCGATGTTGATGAAGAATACTTTCAAAGCAGCGAAGTACAATGCAGAATATAATAACCGAAACAATGCATAAATTGCTTGTATATTGATTGCATTATATTTATCAAACTAGTAAACAAATGGCTCATCATATACATAACACTTGTTAAAAACTAGTAGACAAAACAATTTAAAGAAAGGTGCTTGAAATGTTTAATATGAAATATTTTGTTGTTTATAAAATAAAATTATAATATAAAATAATTTATAATATAAATAAAATTTGTATTAAAAAAAATTGTAGCTGAAATATTTTTCATATGTTACAGAAATATTAAAATCAGAAGTAATCCAATGAACTAAAATTCTTATTGTGGCAAGTACAAATTAAAAAGTTTTCTATAACTTTGTTTATAAATATTTATTTATTTAACTCTTCAAAAAATAATCTATTATAAAATATTACATAAAAGGTACAAATCATTTCTATAAAAATAAACAATAAATATGTTATTATTTATAAAGCATTAAATAGTCTGAGTCTAAACTTTTAGGTGATAACAAAAATCACATTATTATCGATGCTGTTACCAAAATATTGTTAAAGTATATCACCCTACTCTGTTAATAAATGTTGAGAAAGATGTAATTTCTGATGTAAAATTCCTGTGAGCAAAGCCTCTGACTTCACTATAGGAGGAATATATTTTCTACCGGTTTTCTTAGGCCAAAACTTTTTATCCTCTTCGCAGGATATAATGAAAGATGGATTTTTAAATCCACTTCGTGGACTAGTTGTCACGAAAGTACCCCCGCAACTTTCAACAATATCTGCAATTGATTGTGTTAATTTCTCATTGCTCATTTATCCGTCTATATTATATATAATATGAATGGGTATACCCAAGCATGCCATACACGTGTATAAAAAGTTTTTATCACTATCTATATCATAAAGATAGTACTTGGTATTACCAACATGAGTTTTGAATTTAATTACTGACCTTTTGTTTCTCGTGGCAGCGGGAGAATGCTCTTTGTGCCCATAACTGTATAGTCCTTTAATAGAGGACTACCTTGAGCTCGTTTTAAAGCGTTTTTCAAATTAAATTTGTATTTTTGTTCACCAGCTTTATCTTTTGTTATATAATCCCATGGATCTGCAAAATGATAACTCAATGATAACTTAAACTTAAATTTAGTATTTCTTCAAATACTTAGTTATCATAAAATTACCTAAAAATTTATGTACTTTCGAAGACTGAATCAACCAGTCTACCGATACAATGGGTATTCCTTTTGCAAGACAACATAAAAACTTAACTGTTCTAATTATACGAGGAGCTATCAAAACGGTACATTGATTATGATTCTCAACAATGATTCCTCCTGTAATATGTTAAAAAAATTAAGAATAATATAATATTTTTAAAATAATAATACTGACAAACCTAATTTAGTTATAAGATCAGGCAAGGTATCATCGCTTACTGAAGTTATTAAAATTTTAAAATTACTACCACTCTTTTCTGAAATACTGGATGAAGTATTAGATTTTGAAACTTGCTTTGGGTCTATATGTTCATTTTCCTTCTTCTAAAAAAAAAAAAACGTATAAGGTAAGAATTAAATTATATAAATGAACAAAATTACCTTTTTACAAGCATTTTCAACATCAGAATTTTCTGATTCTCTACTATGGGACAATTGTCTTTTGGTTTGCCTTTGATAACTAGTATTAGAATTTTCTAAGTGATCCGCTTTGAGAGAAATACTTTGAAGCTAAAAATAGATATATGGGTAATAAATGGGATGGTTGATTGATTTTCAATAGAGTTTAGACTTTTAGATTTACACTCACAAATTTATTGTCCGATACATGAATGCTGGGCATTCGCTTTCGACTGCTTTTTCTTTGATTTGTAGTAGAAACTTCTACATTTTTAGAACATTCCAGAACTGAATCAATGTCACTTGTTTTCTATAATATATGGAATTTAATATATATATATATATATATATATATATATATATATATATATATATAAACATAAATATATATTAAAGTGGTCCTTAATATGGACATTTTCAAATTTTCCTTGCTCCCAGGAGCTCAAATGGTTCCAAATTGATAAAAAAAAATCTCTAAAAGTTGTAGCTCTTAATATCAACTTTTAGATAGAGCGCAATTCAATTTCAGAAATTTTAAAAATATTTTTTAGATATAACTTAGTGTGACATAAATTGTCATTTTTGATTCATTTATCGCTAAGTTATATCTAAAAGGCATTTTGAAAATTTTTGAAATATTTTCATGCTAATTACATACAAAACTTTGATTAAATTGCACTCTATCTAAAAGTTAATATTAAGAGCTATAACTTTCAGAGAATTGTTTTTTATCAATTTGGAAACATTTGAGCCCTTGGGAGTAAGGAAATTCGAAAATGTCCATATTAAACACCACCCTATTGTTGTTCTAGATTAGCTATATAACATAATTTTTCTGAATCCCTTAGCAACCTATATCTCAAAATAAAATCAATTACAATTTTTAATGTGAGTGTGTATATATGTTTTTATAGTGTATGTAGTTTTTTAAATTTCAGTCTTTGAAGGTTTCCGAAGAAGAGGCCAAAAAAAATTTATTGTTTTTTTTTTATTCTTTTGTAATAAAAAAGGCTATCAATTTCAGAAAAATAAAATCATAGAAAATATATATACTAATAATAATTATACCAACATTTTTGGAAATTATTGGGCTCGTAGGAGTTTGTGACTCTAATTTATCAGTTTTATGTTTTTTATTGTTATATCTTAGGTTAGTATTTGTACAAACTCCGGAACTTTCTGATTTCTCTTCCAAATTTAATTCATTTCTTTTCTGAAAAAGAGTAAATACTTATGTAGAATATATAAATACAAGAAATACAAATGTGCAAAACTAACCTTTGAAATACTAGATTTTGAAGAATGCTGTGACTCATTTTGAATATTTTTCACTTTCCTGCTGCTTTTCCTTATGTTTATACCCGAAGTGCTGTTTACATCTTCAGATTTTGATCTATCCAAATTAATATCGTCTTTCTTCTGTAAAAATTTAATTGTAAAATAAATAAGTGAATAAAGTGATGAGAACGCATTAATAGAAAGGCAAGTTATAAGATAAACTTAACGTAATAATACTTAATTACAGGTGTTATATATATATATATATATATATATATATATATATATATATATATAAATCTATAAATATATATGTATATAGTATTTATTCACCATTTTGGAGATAACTGGACTAGAATTATTAACTGTTTGTTGTCTGGCACTCTTCCTTTGTGATGCTCCTGACAGTTTTTCTTCTTTCAAATTTTCTTCGAGTAAAATTATTTCTTCATCCTTCTAAAAATTGATAAAAAAAAGTAATAAGCATTAGAATTTGAAAGTAATAAGTAATAAGCAAAATAAATTTTGAAAAATTTAAACATAAATTCTATATTTGAAGTTTAATTAAGCATGCCTATGTTAATACATTCTTCCTAGAAGTACATGTTTAATTTAAATAATTCTTTTTTTACCAGTGAAATTGATAGTATTTTATATATACTCTCAATAATACTTTAAATCTATGAATTATAACAATATAGGTATCATAGTAATAGATTAGTGTATTTCTATATTCATTTGTAATAGTGCTATCTATATATATCAAAATATAATATTAACCTTTTTAGAAATAGCTGGGCTACTAGACGTTTGCGTTTCCAGTTTGCCAGAAACTTGTTTTCTGCTACTTTTTCTTCGCTTTGCATCCAAATTTTCCAGGCTTTCAGAATCCATGATCTTAGTAGCAGTTTTTACCTAGAAACAACAATATATAAATGCCATATTTTGTATTGCTTAAAACATTGCAAGTCTACCTTTGACGTTTTGTTCTCAACTGGATTCACTGATCCTCGATCTATGAATAAAGTTTTATCACTTTCTGAATCTATATTGTTCAAAGAACTTAATACAACTTTTGGTACAAGTTCCTGACTTTTATGTCCTATTTTAGTATTTGCAGTAGATGTAGTCACTGCATCATCCTGTATATTCCTTGATGAGTTTGCTTTACTATTACTTAGCTCCTTATAAAATGAAGAATCAGCATCCACTTCAGTACTTTTAAGATATTCAGATACCTTTTTTGAATTTTTGTCTGGTATTTCAGTGCTTGATAAATCTTTAATTTTCTTTTTGTCTAGTTTTTTAACATTTCTAGTATACTTCTTTGTTTTCCTTACAGGAGAGCCCATTGCTTCATCTGTATCATCTTCCGTATCACCAAACAAATTGCTCAAGTTTTTACCCTTCTTTTTTTTCTGTGAATTGCGAGCACTTTTTTCATTCAATACTTTTCGTTTTTTGGGCTGTTTATTTTTAGCAATAGATAATTCTTCTTCATTCTCTCTCTTATTCTCATTATCGGAACTATCTCCAAAAATCTGCTGAGGTTGTATCGCAGAACGAATTTTTTCTGCATCAATTTTCATAGAATTTTCTGCCATAAGTTCAGCCTCAGAGTCTTCTATGCTTTCATCACTTATACTACGATGTGAAACAATAGTGTCATACGTTTTATTTTTAATCAGATTTAAGGATTCATCACTTCCATTGTTGTTAAATTTTTTGTTGGAAACCATAGGAGTGCTACTGATGTAAGATGATGCATGAGGTTTCTTACTAAAGCAATTGGATTTTGCATCACTTGCTATTTCACTGATTGAGGTTATATTAAAAGATTCTGATGCTTCACTTATTAGAATTTTATTGGTATCCAAATTAATATTTTCACATATTTGTGGAGAAGACCGAGCACTAATACTCGATCGCGGAAGCATGATTGTAGTTTGGTCACAAATACTGTCTTCAGACATTTTTAGCTCAGATTCACATTTATCAATTTCATCTTTAGAAGAAATACTCTTATTATATTTGTTAATACCACCTTTACAAGACTTACTGTTTACTTCTGTTGACCGGTTTTCATCTGGTTTCTGAACATGATTTTTCCTGGAATTACGAGTTTTTCTGACATTGCTCTTAACTGTAGAATCTTGATTTGCGTTGATTACTTCAGGTACAGGAGCTGTAATAATTTGTGTAGGCATATCAGAAATATCATGTGTTAATTTAGTAGGCTGATTAAATGTATCACTGATATTTGAATCCAATTCAGATTTGGAACTGGATTTTTTTGAACTATCAAGTTTTTGTGTTGGCATATTCCACACTTCATCATGATCAACAAGTTTTGCAGGCAATTTTTTTTTCCGTTGAGAAACTCTACAAATCGGGGTAGGAAGTTTTTGAGTGCATTGATCAGAAATATCTGTAAACTTATTTTTATCAGAATATTTATTTCCGCTATCATTAGAGATTGGTATAATCTGTGTGCATGCATCAGATATGTCTACTTCTATTTGCTTATCTACAACAAATCTTTCATCTTTCATAGCACAATCTTCTTTGTCTTCATTGTTTACAAGACTTGTAGCCGCATTGTTTTTTTGCAAACTTTCAGATATCGAAGTGGGAATTTTTTGAGTGCAAGCATCTGACAAGTCATGAATCATTTCTTTGCTTTTCTCTGTGTGAATCAATTTCTTTTGCAAATTTTCAGATACTGAAGTAGGAACTTTTTGGGTGCAAATATCCGATATATCTATTTCTGTCAAGTTCTGCTCTGTCATGTCTTTGCTTTTCTCTGTATGAATCAATTTCTCACTTCTTTCAGTAACAATTTCAGCATCCGTGGGATGTATGTCCACAACAGTAGTGCTTGGACTGATTCTGATATTAACTGTTGGCGAAATATTTATACCATTCACATTCTCTCCCTTACTTTTTGATATGTTCAATCCCTCATCGATATCTTTGGATGCTTTATCCAAAAATTCAATACTTTTATTAATATCTAGTTCATCATTTTCAGCAGGTACCTTTGGTTTAGTCTCTTCATTATCAGAATTTTCAATACAATCTTCGCAGTCTGTTATATCGTTATCCTAATAAACAATTTTTAAAAAAATGTAAATAAATGTATAGCAGATAAAAATATGCATTAATAGTCTAATGTTCTGAAAGTGTTCTTTCTATGCAATTAACAACAAAAATTGTGTTGTATGATTCACAGATTTATTTAACACATAATGAACTCAAGGATAATATTCACATGTTTAAAAAAATTCTTATCACTTTAATAAATACTGTTATAAAAAATAAAAAAATATTATTAATTATTAAAGTTTTATTGTAGTTTCAATGCTTTAAACCATGTATATCTACCTTTCCTAAAAAAAATCCTGGAAACTATGTAGGACCGAACAGGTTCGATCTGTCTGTTAAGTGTTAAGGTAAATGACAAAGTCATATTTGATTTCCTATCAATTTTATCAATGTTATTCTTATATGAAGAAATGAATTACTTGAATGTGATTCAATAAAAGAAACATATTAAAAAAGTGTAACAGTTCATTACTGTTGTTAATGTGAAATGTATAAAAAGTAGAGCTCAACATATTTTTTAAAAAATAATTTCACTTACAGATTTATTGTTAGTTCCCTCAATAATAATATCATTATCCACTGCTTTCTCTACTGACTTTGAAAGATCAGAAAATGACCTTAATAGGCATTGTGAAGAAACAATCTCATAAACAGAAGAATTACTGTCTTCTTGATAATTAATTATTTCATTTAAATCAGCATCACAAGTATTATTTGACTTTGACATTTGATCTGTATCATCAAGTTCACTATCGGCAACAGATTGATAAAGAACAGGAGTGTCCTCAGCAAAATTTTGTGTTTCAGGCACAAACATTTCTTTATCACTTAAAGATGTATTATCATCATGTAATGTTTCACTTAATATTAGCCTGTCAGAACTATCTAACAGACTATTTTTCTGGCATGTTGCTTTAGGTGCAATATTTGATACCTGTGTTTCTGCTTCATGTATTGAAGCATCAGAAAATTTGATCTCATTGGAATTTGTATTTCTTTTTGAGTCAGAGAGTTCAATAACTGTTTTAGGTGATAAAGACCTAGAACTGCTACTTTTCAATCTTCTGTTAGATAAAGAACTATCTAAAATAGGCGAAGTAGAAATAGCTAACCGGTCAGAATCCTAAAAAAAAAATTAAAAATAAAATATATTGAGTAGCCCAAGCAAGGAAAGAAAGATCAAGACATAGACAATAGAGATCAATTACTTATTTCATTTGAAATTATAGTATATGGTAAATCAAAGCTAAATAGAAGATAAAAACTTTTGTCATACATCTGTTGCATCAAAATTTATTTGAGAATCTGTACTCGATTCCAAGACTTTTTCTAATGGATTGGCTGGCCGTGAAAAATTTTGAATAGGCGGTTTCTGTGATTCCAATTCCATCTTGAAAGAAAGAAAACAAATTAAGACCTTATTAATAATAATTATATATATATATATATATATATATATATATATATATATATATATATATATCATGAATGGTAGACAAAGGATAAGGGAATCATTTATTTATGGTGGCTCTCAAACCATGCGCCTGTCTTCGGGTAGACTACCATTTATTATTATTATATATTAAAAATATATTGTACTCATCCAAATCATTACCTCATCAAAGAAGTACTGCCCAGAAACATTGCCAAACTTCAAAGTCGATTTATGTTTTAAATCATAGTGATCATAAGGTAAAAGTGGACCCTACAAAAATAAAACTTAATAAGTGGCAAAATTATAGTGATATCAATCAATACAAAAAAACAGACCTCAGAATCAAGTATAGTTTTATTGGTAGAACGGAGATCCAATATAACATGTCTGTGATCATAGACTCTAATAACAGCATGGCTCTGTGAAACTGTCTGGAATTGATTATATTGGTGAATAATTAAAAAGGCATAATATATAAAAATATAAATACATATAATATATACCGGATCATCAATAAATATATCAGACGTTCTTGTATCTCTGCCAACATTGTTGATGCCTGTAAATATAGGATAACTGGTTCCTAAAATATATAAAGTAGCAACCTAAAATTCATAAATTGTCTTTAATAATAGAGTTTTAACTGGTTGTATTCATTTAAATGTAATTACTTGTTGCTTGTCATTTTTTGTTTCTTCACAAATCCTTTGCGTACAATCAAACATTTTGGAAATTTTATCTGTCACTTTTAATAATTATTGAACGTAATAATTGATCAAATTGCCTCGTCGTGCAGTTGAAAATCTAAAATAAAAAACAACACTTTTTCGCCAAAAATAATAATCACAATAACTGTAGTTCACCAACATACGAAAACAAAATAATATGTAAATTATATCGATACGCAGAGAGAGATTTGATAGTAAAACCGAGATAAGACAAATACATATTCATAGATAAATAATCATATTTTAAATCAAATAATTTTATTTTAAATTTTAATAAAATGTGTCAAAACACAAAAACAATAACACGGAGAAATAATAACTGATTTGTTTCGACACGTTATTAATCAACCAAAATACGTTGTTTCCTCTTTTAAGTTTAAATAAAAATTTTAAAATTACATCATATCGTATTTCACCAGTATTAGCAATTAATTCTAAATTTACGAGACTGAAGAATTTATTTAAATAAAATATGCAAGTCTTAAATATTATTATTAATATATATATTATAAAATAATATTATTATGATAATCTGAAAATATCTTTCCGTTTAACCTACTTTTAAAACGCATAAAATTGAAGTGAAATAGACATATTTTTGAATAACAAATACTATACAAATATACTACACATATATAAGATTAGTATCCTAAATTGTTGTATATATTTAGTATTTAATAATTAGTAGTAAAAAAGTAAAAGAAAATAACATACCTCATTCATTTAAACGATTTTTGTCTTTTCGATAATCCTTCGCAATCCTTCGCGTTCTCAATAAGCATTAGCGCATAGATGAAAGAAGAGCATTAAGCGTTCTCGTTCTTGATGCATGATGTGGCTGTCAGATGTCACCCTGCGGCCTGCGCTCACAATTCCCTCGTGTTTATAGGGTTAACTGATTGTTCGTCTACAGACAGTAATAAGTTGCAAAATTTATTAGTAATGTGGTGATTGTATTAAACAAAACACAGTTTGATTATCTTATATTTACTATTTACCATTTTGATTTCAAATTAAACTTAACTGAAATTTCAAACTTTTGCAAATTTTTCATAGAATAATCGTTAATTTAAGTGTTTCAATCCACAGACGTTAACACACATTATGAACATTGAAAATAAGAATTGAAATACCAAATACCAATTGAAATACAAAGTGCAGCGTAGACTTGTAAGTCGTTCAGTTGATTTTCATCATTTTAGATGTAACTTCACTTTTAATTTGTTATACTGTTCAACGAAAATAGTACCTCGCACAAGCGATTAATAAACTTTGATAGGAAAAGAAAATTGGTTACCGCAGTGTGTGAAGACTGTAAAGCTTGAAATGGGTTCAGTTTCGAATTGCAAAGAAAACTGGAGGAATGATAATTGGCAACAACGGCAGCGATCATCACAGTTTGATACGGGTTCCATTCAGGATCATGAAGAAAACTGGGATGATGAAGATTGCTCACAACAGCAGCAACTATCACAGCACAGAGAACTGCCAAGACCAGTTTCAAGTTTCAATAATCGACCAGCTTATTCTACTTCATTTCAATCCAAGCCATCTGGTTCAAGCCATTCAAATAGACACAGCAATAGATCAAGTATTGAGATTTAATTTTAATTTATTCAGTGACGTAATTTGTTGTACACTGCTTGATTGCAATAGTAGCTGTTGCTAAACATTGTATTAATTTTTGCTTTGTAAAGAATACTGCATTACTATGCATAACATTTTTTTACAAAGTTTTAAAATCGATCCATATAACAGTTTTTTTTTATTGAATGTGTATCTACAAATTTTCATTGCCCTTTATTTAATGTTTTGGTTAGAAATATTAAACAAATTGTTCATACTCTTGAAATGTTAAATAGAATTATGTCAAAATAACTAATTGAATGATTTTGATCATTATCATTATAATTATCATACTTAGGTGTTTTCAGAGCTCACATAACTCTATTTATATTATGTAAGTATTTCTCTATTCAAGGTATTTCTCGTGGTCATAAAGATAATGACAAAATAATAAAGATTCCCTCGAAAAAATTAGGACGCCTCATAGGAAGGGGTGGATGTAATATACAAAATATAAGAAAATCAAGTCAGTGCATGATAAAGACAGGTATGTGTTCCTAATTCAGCCACTATTTTGCTTTATAATGCAAATATAAAGATGTACACCTATATTCATTTCTTTTGGAAAAGGGGTTGAAAATTTTTATGACACAGAAATTATTTTGATTGGATCTAAATCAAATCAAGAAAGAGCTGAAGCGCTTATAAATGAACTGTTGTTTGATCATGATTCTAAAAAATCTACTGAAACTATTGACCATGTTACTGAAGAATTAGCTGAAGTTTCTATTGAAGAGAATAATAGAACTGATGATGATGAATTTCCTGACTGGGCCGCCTTAATTGCAAAAAGTGTTCGTACTTTTTATTTGATATTTTTAACATAATTTTATTAATTTATTATTTAATTAATTTTTATTACTTCAGAAAAAGTATACAGAAGAAAAATGGGCTAAATTTCCTCCTGTCATTAAGAATTTTTATGTGGAACACCCAGAAGTTACCCAATTGAGTCCTGAAGAGGTAATTATTTTGTTTTTATATAATTAATACAAAAAACTAACAGTGTATTTTCTATCAGGTTGAAGATATATTTAAAGCGAATAATGTAACTGTATCATTCCTTGAAGCCAAAGATGAATGTTGTGCAGAACCGATACCAAATCCTATTCAAACATTTGCACAATGCTTTAATCAGTTTCCTGAAATGTTACAGCAGATAGAACGGCAAGGTTTTCAAAAGCCCTCCCCTATTCAAGCTCATAGTTGGCCAATTTTACTTAGTGGTAAAGATATGATAGGAATTTCTCAAACAGGATCAGGTATTTATATTGGCAATTTATTAAGTCATATTGAATGTAGATGACAATAACTTTGATTATTTATAGGTAAGACGTTGGCATTCATCTTACCGGCATTGGTGCATTTGCATGGGCAGTCTGTGAAATCTAATGAGCCATCAGTTCTAGTTTTGGCTCCAACCAGAGAACTAGCTCTGCAAATTGAGTCAGAGGTTTTAAAATATCCTTATAAAGAAACAAAAGTGTAAGATAAACACAGTTGTATTCTATTTATATATCAATTTAACATTTGATTTTTTTTTGTTACAACAGTTTATGTGTATATGGTGGTGTGAATCGTAAAGAACAAAGAGATTGCCTCACCCAGGGTGCTCATATAATTGTTGCAACGCCAGGGCGTTTGAATGATTTCCTAGAATCTAAAGATATAAATATAGAGGGTGTGACATATCTTGTCCTGGATGAAGCTGATCGCATGCTAGATTTAGGTTTTGAACCTCAGATAAGAAAAATTCTTTCATATTTAAGACCACAAAGACAAACAGTTATGACAAGTGCTACTTGGCCTTATGCAATTTCTGATCTTGCACAGCACTATATGGCTAATCCTGTACTGGTAAGACCTAATTATATTTGTTTAAGACGAAGTTTTTAGTGCGTTTTTATCAAATTGTAGGTTCGGGTTGGGTCTCTAGATTTAACTCCAGTTGCCAGTGTTACACAGGAAATAGTTTTATTGCAAGAAGATGAAAAGATTGATGCAGTAAGTAAAAGTAACTAACTAACAATTAACATTAACAATTTGCATTTGTGCAATAAATTTTTCCAGAAATTATGTTCATTAATAAATACAACTTTGATGTCTATATCATCCAGATGTCAGGCAGATAGTATACATACATACATATATATATATATATATATATATATATATATATATATATATATATATATTGACGTAACAGTTTGCGTTGCCTTCTGTGAATATCGTGCAGTAGGGATGTCCATTTTTACTTGAAAATGTAGATCAAAAATATATTTCCAATTGAAAATAGCCCATTTCAGGCATTGCGTTGTGAAATGGAAATAGAAAATCTCTCACACTATTCTTCCCTGAATGGAGTTGGAGTTTAACTCAACTCACTACCCTATCTAGGGCAGTACTACTCATTATTATTATCATATATTATTGATATATAATACGGATTTGCTCTAATACAATTAATTTGAGAGTTTAGAACATCTCCAACTAAAAACAAATCAATGAGATTTTCAATTATGTTTCAAACAAACTTAATCTGTAATTATAATAATTATAGTGCCCAAATCCGTGCAAACCAATATACCAATAAATTTAATGCATGAACTCCGCCGTGAAATTCCGAAAAACGAACCAAGATTTAATTATGGAGAAACGGCGCGGCCTATATTTCTCTGAAGCTAATCAGCACGATTCTTAAATATCTTTCCAAAGCGTTTTCAATGGAAAATTGCCACAAGACCTCATTTAGTCCAGTTAAACCTAAATACCTCTGCTTTGCTACGTTTTACTGATATTTTTTTCTTTTTTTGTTTTGTTATTTTTATTATTATACATCATAGATTCCTAGTAGATACGTCGATAGGTATTGTTACTATTTTTTAATTAATATTGTGAAATATTTTTTGTTAGCAGTCTATTAACATATTGCATAATATAATTATTTATTAAAAAAAAAAAAAACATTCAAGATTTTTTGTGAAAACTTGGACAAAACTTTTTGCACTTTTCTACGAATCCCAAATGAAACGGCTGGACCAATCGTCTTGAAAGTTTAATCAAGGTTCATTCTTGACAAGTTTTATTGAACAGCTTTAAGATTTTTGAAAACCGTAGGCTTACCCGAACAGTTATCATAATTCTTAAGTAAAGATCCTTTTAATGAAAGAAGCTCAAAATTTTAATAAACAGGACTTTGGATGTGCTTAGTATCAATCAATAAATACATAAATATCTTTCAAAAAATAAATATATCAACCTTTATTATGAAATTATAATATGTAGCTTTTTTTTTAAATTTTTGGAACTCTTTTTGTACTAGTCCTTTGTATGTAACTATCGTTTGATAAGGAGGTAATTAGCAGAAGTTATTAAAAATACTATGGCTTTTCAGATATTATATACTATGTTACAGCAAACTTTATTATTATAGGTTATCACATTTCTTAAAACTTTGAAAGATAATGAAAAGGCCATTATCTTTTGTGGAAAGAAAGCCACTGTAGATATGATTTCGTGTGACATACAGCTGGAAGGCATTAGGTGTGATTCTATACATGGTGGAAGGGAACAGGTATGCTTGTCATATTTATTGTAAACTTTTGAAAAATGACTTTGTCAAGTTACACTTTTTTAGTATGATAGAGTTCGTGCCCTCGATGATATTAAAAGTGGTGCTATTTCAATACTTATTGCAACTGATGTAGCTTCAAGAGGCATTGACATAAAGGACATAACGTAAGTTACCAATTTTATAAATTGACTTAAATTAAATTTTTTTGGTGTATGTTTTTGAAAATTATTATTAATAACTTAGGCATATTTTGAATTATGATTTTCCTCACACTATTGAGGAATATGTTCATCGTGTTGGAAGAACTGGCCGTGCTGGAAAAACTGGAAAATCTATAACATATGTAACCAGAAATGATTGGAAACTTGCAAAGGATCTTAGGAAGATTTTACAAGATACTAATCAGGTATTTGATTCTATAGTAGACCCCATTGGTGCCATTGTTATTTTCAAAATATAGTGATTCAATTTGAAGTGTAAGTCTATATCACGAACAGCATTTATATATCATATTTATATTCTAAAAAATATTTGAATGCATAACTAGTAATCTAAGCAGCAAATAACAAACCAAATTCATTTTTTATGAAAGACCAAAAAACATTTTTTTCTTATTCATGTAGTGTAAATTTGTGAATGTTATAGTACACAACCAAAAATATATTTTAAAAAATTGTTAAAATATGCTTTCACATATCTATTCTGTTGTATATATATACATTTGCTATTTTAAATAACTTGGTTTAATGTTATATTTTAATGTCTAGTCGTCTTCTATAATTTCTGCTTTTTATATGCATTTAAAATATTCAAATTTCCTTCAATAATTACTAAGCATAGGATAATTTTCATTTAATCTTGTAGGTAGTCCCAGAAGAAATAAATAGGATGTGTGATGCTTATGAACAGTTTTGCCGCCGCCGTCAGTTATCTGGAAGGCGTTAAAAAAAGATCTGATTCGTATAAATGATTAGTATAGAGTATCTCATTTGTTTTTAACCATTGATTAATATTTTTTTTATTTTTAAGTTCAATAGCTCATAATTTTAAATTTTTGCATGAAAATAGAGTTGAAATTAATAAACTTAATCAGAATGTAAACATGTTGAGTAATGAAAGTATAACTTTTTATAAGCTTTGCCGTTATGATGATTCAGTTGTTCAGCCAATATTCTCATCTCGGTTTTAATCATTTCATTGATTTTTTATTTGCAATTTCTGTCTTTTTTCCATATTTATTTTGCTTTACAATTTACAATTACATTTGTATCTATCTTCTACTTTTTCGTTGTGTTATTCCAACTTACTACTCTTATTATCTCCTTGTCTTCAAATTGATTCAATATGTTTTCTTCAATTATATTATTCTTTGTCTCAGTTTTGCTCTTAAAAATGTGAGAGTGTGAAAATGTGTGAATCTATTTTCTGAATTGGATGTTAGATTGAATGATGTTTATAACAAATTTATTTAATCATTCATTTTTTATGAACGACTTAACATAATATTGTACTTACCATATTAATAAAATAGATATATGTATGTTGGTAATATGTTTAATTAATTGTAATAACATTAACCCTTTGCATGGGAAATAGGCTAGAATCGTCCCTTTGATAATATGCTGAAATTTCGACTTTCAAAAACACATTTTCACAATTTTCATCATCATTTAGTTCAATACCATCATTCATCTTCTTCCATGCAATTGTCAACAGGAAAGTGCATTGTAAATAATATTCACCAATTCACAATAATGTTCATGAAATCAACTGAATTGAAATATTGTCCAATGTCAAATCATGTCATTTGCTCCTGGGGCAAAAAAGGGTATGACGTGTAAAATATTTTATTTGAAGTATTAAAAAATAAAGAACTTAAAATATTTACGTATTTTCGAGCATATATTAATCATTTAGTAATAGTCAATTCCCCAAGAAGAAGTTATCGTTTTCGCGATAAAATCCGATTTGCTAATTTCATGTTTTCTCGACGTTTCAAGCCATTTTGAGAACAAATTTGGAAAAAGTATGTGTGTGTGTGTATGAGCCGAGTTTTCTAAAAAACGGCTGAAACGATTTATAAAATTCAAAAGCCATTCGATGTATCTCGATGAGGATTGGCGCTTATCAACTTTGCAAATTGAAAGCTTTGAAAATTCGATTCGAGTAGTTTTTGCAAAAGATCGGCCGGGCCGTTTTCTTATAATTAACGGGTGAAAAAATATTTTTTTGGCGATGTTTATGAAACTTTTTTTGACGGTAGTTATCATGGTCTTAGAGACCATAATAAAATTTTAACACCCTACGACAAGTCGTTCAATTAAAAAAAATCATCAAAATTTAAAAAAATTAGCGTTTTTTTACGTTTGTTCAAATTAGGCATTTTACTTACAACTTTACTTTAGTATGGCGATAAAGTACCTGGTCTTAATAAACTTATTAAACCATTATAATCTTATGGAAACTAGTCCAATTACAAAAAAAATGAATTTTGAACATTTGCAATTGCTTTTAGAAAATACTCCGAGTTGAAGTAGAAACGTGTTCGATTTTCAATAATATGTAATATGACTCATAAATTAATTCAATTATTATTAATTAAGTCGATTATGTACACATATCGAGAAATTTATGTAACTTGCCTTAAGGCAAAATACCACTTACAACTATAGTGTTCATTCATATTAAATTGGTCACAGTAATAAATTTGTGTAATTGGTATATGCAGTATTTTTTTAATAATTGATATTTTTCAAAATAAATGTTTAATTCACTATTTGTCTGAGGTATCATTGAAAATCTGCCTAAATACTTTATTATTAGATCTTAACGTATCAAAGTAGAAAATTGTTTTTGCCTGAAAATCCGATTCACAAACTATGATTTCTTTGGATTTACACTGTTTTAGTAAAATTTCTTTGGTGTTATAATTAAAAAAATCCTTAATTACAAATTAAAAAGTTTAGAGTTTTAGAAAAAAGTGAGTTTTAAAATGCAAAAACCGTTGCATCAGTTACGAATCGTGCTGAATAGTCTATAATAAAGATCTGCCATGCCGTTTTATCGTAATTAAACTTTTATCGACATCACGTCACTAATAAACACAAATTACAATCATAATTATTATGTATTTATTTTTCATGCATAACCAAGTCAAATTTGTCATTTTTTTCGTTCAGTCGGCAGCGAAATTTTTTCAAAGAGCGAAATTTTTCCAAAGTGACATTCACGGTTTCAATAAAATCATGTTATGTAAACCTAGCCCGAAGGCATTGTGTGAACAATTATGAAAAGTATTTGGGCCCAAAATAAAACTGTTGCCAAACATTTAAACATTAATACCGTTTAATTTTAATTTAAATAATAATATAATTTAAATAAAACAATATTAGGGTGCCGCCGGGCTTAATGTATTAAAATATTAGTATTACGAATGATAATAACATAAGTAAATATGAAATATTTTATGATGAATTTTGTATAGCTGCTGTATATAATATCTTATTAATATGTTGTTTCTTTTCAGAGCTCGTGTACCGCCAAGTGTTTTTGGTTTTGGTATATAAGTTGTATCTTGATAGTTCAGTTTATTAGTGGTATTAAATCGATTTGTAAATATATAATAATGAACTAATAAAATAGTATCCAGTAATCTTATTCTTATGCTATTCAATATATGTTACACAATTTTATTTCAGCGGTATGCAAAGTAAGAAAATCTGCATTACGTATTTATTTCGTTCCGGGAGAAAATTCGGTGTGCGAAATGTTCGCTATGCGAAACGTGTTTTTCATACCAGTACATAAAAATAACATTAATTCGTTCTGTAGTTTGAAATGTAGTCATAGAAAATATTTAACACATAATTAAGACATTTATAAAAATATTACAGATTAACGAAATAATTATAAGTTATTAGTCGTACTGCTACATTTTGTACCCTTCTAGCTTCTGAATTTTTAAAGAAACTGTCGATAGTTTTTTTTCCCAACAAGTATATTTTCACAGCCAAGTATTTTTATTTTGTAACTTTTATTGGAAGAATTTTTTGAAGATTTGTAGAATTGGACTATAATTTTAAATTAATATGCACAATCATAAGCCACCGTATTATGGCTGCTGTTCGGTCTAATCATTAGAATTATCGTTTTTAATTGACATTTTGGATCAATATACAGATTTATTCGTCTTTCGGCTAAATGTGTATTAGACTGAGAGCCAGTGAACCTTTTGAATAACGGTCTTCCTGTAAGGCTGACAATTTTTGTACAGGTGATTCTTAACGTGCTAAGTACGGAAACGACGGTCTGGCAGGTTTTAGCCCTGCACATCATGGTCGTCCAGGCGTTTGAAAGTGTAAAAAACACCCGAAAATTAAACTAGTTTCTGTAAGGTTCAAAGTTTTATACGATGTAATTTATTCATTGAGAAGTTCGAAAATCAATCTGCCAGACCATTTCGACCTGCACAAGTATCTGCCAGACGAGGCGGAAAGTGAGCAAAAAATGCCCCAAAATAAACTTTGTCCTGTAAAGCTGAAATTTACATATGTGTTTATCTAAGCAATTCTAAAATGGTCTGTGCAATTGCCAGACCATTCTGGCTAGCATAAGCCCTTGCCAGACGAGGGTAAAAATGCTATGGCGGGAGGGCGAGTAATAGGCGTTGCGTGAAAACTTAGCATATATTCAAACCATATTATGAGAAATTACAAATTATGGTCAAAATAAATTGATAACCATTCTGATGATAGTCTGCCCATCTTCCGTATTCTTCTTCCCATTCTTTTCAGTCCTTCTATTTTACCTTCGACTACGTCGTGAAATAGGCACTCGTATTGCAGAACGGGTCCGATCCAGTTTCTTATTATTTTCAGGATTGTGCTCAGTAGAGTCATTTCTTTGCCCATTCTTCTCAGGACTTCTTCATTTGTTATGTTATCCGTTCACTTTTTCATTTGCCTCTCCAGCACCACATTCCAAAACTCTCCAGGTATTTCTTGTCGGTATTTCTCAGAAGCCATGTCTCTGATCCGTACAGAGCTATGCTCCAGATATAGAACTTCATCAGTCTCTTCCGCAAGTCGAGACTCAGTTTGCTCGTCCGTAGCGTTCTCTTCTTTGTGAAAGCCGGCTTGGCTTTTGCGATCCTTTCCCTGATTTCTCTCGTGCAGTATCCTTAGGGCTCATCTCTTTTGACTCTTTCACTTCAACGATTCTGCTCATCATGTTTCGTAGCTCGGTTTGATTTTTCGATATTACCACTAGATCATCTGCGTACTTTATAAAGATGGTGACATGCGCCATCCTTGCTGCATTCTTCTACCTATTTCAACGCTGTTTGTATCTTCCTGGTTCATTCAAACCTTCACTTTCTGTATCATATACAAACTCTGAATCAGCCTGAGATCTCTCCAATCGGCGTTAATAGATTTTAAAATTCCCATAAGCTGACTCTGTCAAAAGCTTTCTGCCCATCTATAAAACGTTGTTAACGTCGAGACATCTGTCTGACAATATCCTCAATATTCTAATAGCATCTCTGGTGCCTCTTTCTTTCCTGAAATCTAACTGGTCTTTGCTCAGTCGTCTAGTAAGGATTTTGCCAATACCGTCATCTCCCGTTGCTTTCTTTCTTCTCATAACATTTATTGCTTTTTCGACTTCAATTTTCAATATGCATGGTCCTTTTTTGTGTTTGTCCACCTATTTTTCTTCTAACTGATTTCAAATTTTATATAATTATAAGTTATGAGAAAAATCTTATATTTTGAGGTTGATGGGTGGGATGGATTGATGGGCTAAGCCCACCCAGCCCACACGGTTCCGACGCCACTGGACTCATGCAATGTGCACTATCTTATCATTAACATTCATGATTAGCAATTTTTTTTTAAATTAAACAACTTTACGTAAACTCAAATATATTTATTCTTAAATATTCCACACATACTTCAGCCAAATTTATTCTATTATTTATTCGCTTACTAACAAATTTACCGATTGGCACCTTAACCAAAACTATTTTGAAAGCAACAACTGTGATACTTCTCTGAAAAAAGAAAGTGTTTTGATTACTCGTCTCAATAATTTTACAACTACACTTATTGCTACAGCTAAAACATCAACTACCTATCCTTAACCATTTTCACGGTCACTCTGTACCCATGGGTATTAAAAATATCATTGCATAGAAAATAAAATTAAGGAAAATTACCTAGTGGTCTGCTGCAAAGAAGTATTCTTGCACCAACCCTATATTTTATTTACCTACTTCGGATTTTCGAATTTTGACTGATACAAGCGTAGTCATATTTGCTGATAATAGGTGCACCATCTCCGCAAATAAGGATTCAACAACACCATCAATAACCTTTAACATAATTTTGTAATAGCTGAAGCAAGGGTTTCATTGTCACATGCCCACGTGACCTTCACGGTGCGCAAACATTCTTGTCTTGCAGTTCAAATTAATAACATAGTTATTCCATCCAAGGAGTCTGCTAAATATTTCAGTGTCCATTTAGAGTCTAAATTTTAGACTGAAAACTCAATTAGATAAAAATAAAGCAGCAAATAGTTCAAATTTCCAGAAAAAAACAATTGGCTTCTAAACAGGAATTCAGAACTTTTCAGCACAGCGAAACAAAGCAATTTAAACATAATCCGACGCGCCCAAAATAAAATCCTGAGGCAAGAAATTAACACTTGATGTTACACGCTGACCGTTAATTTTTAAATCGTAGTTGCCACTTTCAATTACAAAAGTAGAATCGACGTCCAATTAAACGATTTAGCCAATAAATTGTATTCGGTAAGGCAGGCCACCAGACTAAAGCAAAAATTATTTACGGATTTTATTTAGATGCTTTTATATTATTATTTTTTCTTTAATATTGTAATATTTTTGTTTTAATTTTATTTTATACTCCTAGTAGATTCTCCATTGGGCGAATCTAATAATATCTGATCATAATGTTATCCCTTTTTTAAACATTGATAACAATTTCTGCCTATTGTTTCCATTAACAGATCGCAGAAAGAATGAATAATTAAAAAACTTGCCGTAAGCTTAATATTTTATAATATTATAAGCTTACAATATCGTATAAACAATATGCAAATAATTATCAAAAAATTTAACTATTAATTACCGAGAAACGTCCCGGCGGATCTTTCCTAAAACTAATCAGCATTAATCCCAACTAATACTTTCCGAACAGTTTTTGAATTGTTAAATTGCCAATTTTGGCTTATTGGCGAAAACGTGGATGAAGAATTTTACTCGCATCTACTAATTGTAAAAAAATGACTCGGGCAATCGTCGCAAAAAACTAATAAACGCGAGCACTTACCGAATGGCTTTTAAAATTTAAAATCGGTTTAGCCGTTTCAAAAAGATGTCGATAAAAGGTTAAAAATCGTCTCACAAACACACAAATACATATTTCTTTACAGTAGCGAGGCAACCTTCATTTACAAATGCGCACACATTTGCGTCATTAAAGTTTAGTCATGACGAGTATATTCGTCAATCACAGAACGAGTTTCTTTGAAAATATATTAGATGCAAAAAATGGATTTATTTTATTAAATTCAGAAGAAAATTTATTATAATAATTTACTTTTTTGCTCAAGCATATATTGCTAAAAATTAAAAACGCTAGAAATTCAATTAAATATCATATCTTCTATATATATAAAAATAAGTCGGGTTTTCCTTCCTGACGAAATAACTCCAGAACGCACGAACCGATTTCGACAATTTTGCATTCGTTGGAAAGGTCTCGGGCTCGGCAAGGTTTATAGCTAAGAAAATTAGTGGTGCATGGCATCGTGCCCTAATGCAAATTGCAGAAACTTCACGCACCGTAATTAAAAATTCGAGTAATGAAAATAATCAACAAATGTTTTAAATAATTTCAAATAGATTATCTACATATATATAAAAATAAGTCGGGTTTTCCTTCCTGACGATATAACTCCAGAACGCACAAACCGATTTCGACAATTTTGCATTCGTTGGAAAGGTCTCGGGGCTCCGCAATGTTTATAGCTAAGAAAATTAGTTGTGCATGGCATCGTGCCTTAATGCAAGCTGCTGGAACTTCACGCACCGTAATTAAAAATTCGAGTAATGACATTAGTGACAGAATTATGAGCAATTCTTGCCGCAAAGAATAATGATGTACACGCACTGAATTTCACCATTCAATAAAAAATTGCTGGCGATTTGGTGACATACCAATGATTCCGACTGGTCTTCCGTTTGACTTCAAACGAGGGCAATTTCCAGTTCGCCTTGCGTTCGCAATAACAAGTCTCAAGGCCAATCGCTTAGTGTTTGCGGGATAAATTTCAAATAGATTATTTAGAAAATCATTGTTTTTCACATGGGCAGTTATACGTTGCCTGTTCACGAACTGGAAAACCATCCGCTTTGTTTGTGTTAACGTCAGACCAAAAAACAAAAAATGTGGTTTATCAAAGAGCACTTCAATGAAACGGATAATTTGCGGATTCACTTTCATTTACTTAGAGAAGTTCAACTAAAAAACACTTCATTTTTGTAATCCGAAATAAATTCATTACTGTTGTATAATAAAATCAAATTTTTCCTTTTCAAATATAAAACAAACAAAAAATTTCTTCTTCTTTCTCACGAAACCATCTGGTGGCGAAACGGAGTTCGCCGGGTTTGCTAGTTATTTATATAAAAGTGAAACTCAAAGACTTTCCATGGAGCGATATTCAACGTAACACACAATGGTAACTTGCCAATGGAGTTTCTTGCACATTCATACTTTTTGGATAACATCTAAAGAATTTACATAGTATATAAATCAATTCTTGTGCAAACTGGTAAAGTTTCTCAACCAGTGTATCTGGGACTCATGATATCATTTTGAACAGTTATTGTTTTCTATCTTGAAATTTGAGAATATCTTTAGCGTTTCTCACGAAAATGATTTATACCCATGACAATAATATTCGTCAATTCATGAAATATTGCTACTTCTTTATGACGAGTCTAGCTACTTGTCAATCACAGTTAACTGGTTAATATTTATCATAGTTTCGGATATCTGAATGATAACTTGAAGTGTCGTATGGAAGACAAAAAAGTTAAAGTTGCTTATCGACAAGAAAGCAACAAAAATGAAAATTGGACGTGAGGCATATTCAAATTATGTATCTACTTCCTGTAAAACATACAAAATAGACAAAAGCACATTTAATTTTTTGCCTCAGCTTCGTTCAAGTGAATTTTGCATAGTTCAATCGACCAATTTTCTACATTTTCATCATGAATGCAATAATTAATTTATTAATAAATTCTAAAAATATAAATTTATTAATTAAGTCGATGCCAATATAAACCAAAAGGAAGGACAAAAAAATTACTTTTGCAAAATAAGATTATAATTAATAATAAAACCTAGAATTAATATCAATTCCTGATTTTACGCTTTATAGTTGTGATTGAATTGAAGTGAAAAAATCAATATAATATTTATATTTTTAATTGAATAATCAACTTTTCATCACACTTACACCCTTACAAAATTATTCGTACCTAATTTAGTTTATTATCTAAATAAATAAATTATTAAAATATTTAACATGAGTATTCATAACTAGAACATATTAACTTATAAATTATATGTAGAACTCTTATGTATTATATACAAACGCTTATTTTATACATACATATATATATATATATATATATATATATATATATATATATATATATATATATACATATATATATATATATATATATATATATATATATATATATGATAAAAATTGTTTCTTGGGCATCCATCCAATAATTAAAAAAACAGTTTTAATGCAAAATGTTTTAATTAAGAGAACATACGTTTCGGGTCCAGATTTGACCCATCTTCAGTGCATACAAATAAATTTAAAAAAAATATAACACCAAGAACAACACAAAAATGCAACGAAAAAATAAGTATGAAATAAAAAATTGAAAAAACATCAAGTTATGAAAATTTTTGAAAATTGTAAAAATTAAAATAAATAATATGTTTTATTGTAAAAAAGCTTATTCCAAAAACAACATCTTGTTAGTTTGGAGACAGAGTTACGTGTGTGAAGTTCACGAAGTTGTTCTTTGTGTTATATTTTTTTTAAAATTTATTTGTATGCACTGAAGGGGTGCACTGAAGGGGTATGGGTCAAATCTGGACCCGAAACGTATGTTCTCTTAATTAAAACATTTTGCATTAAAACTGTTTTTTTAATTATTGGATGGATGCCCAAGAAACAATTTTTATCATATTATTTCACCATCTGAAGAAAAACCTCTCGCTTTATATATATATATATAATTTTTAGATTTTTTTGTTCCACGTTGAGACATATTCTTGAGTGTTAATTTGCAGCCAATGGTCGAAATAAAAAAAACAATAAATAAAGAACTGTTTATTTATATAAAATATAAATTATAAATAAATAGTTCTTTATTTATTGTTTCTTTTATTTCGACGATTGACTGGAAATTAACACAATATATATATATATATATATATATATATTTATGTATATATACAGGGTGTCCCAGGCCTTTATGTCAGCCGAAACGAGGTGACCTTACCTGCCCTAAAAAACTTTAGAAAAAAATTCTTACGTTGTTTGGAAACTATGAAATTTTAAGTGCAACCTAGAGCTTTAGTGAAACTGTGGTCATTTTTTGGTTATAGTGGTTAATTTTTATTACTAATTTTGTTCATTTAAACTTTGGAACCGTAGGTCTTTATTTTTTACTCAAAATTGTTCAATAATACAATTATCAAGTATTTTATCATTTTACAATCCTGATCACGTTGGCGCATTTACGCCAACTTTTGACGAAACTTGTCTGCAACACTTCATTTTATTTTTTTAAAGAAAGTCCTAGTTTGATTGTGGTTCTAGAAATAATATTCACGGTTAGAACAAAATTAGCAAAAAATAACCAGAATAAGCGAAAAATGGTAATAATTTCACCAAAGCTCTAAATTGCAATTAATAGCTCATAAGTTCCAAAGAACGTAAAATATTTTTTTCTAATTTTTTTCAAGACTGTTAAGGTCAATACTATCACCCCGTTTCGGCTTGACGTCAAGGTCTTAGTCACCCTGAATATCCTATGAGAATAATTTTGAAATTATTGTAATTAGAGAGCCAACATATACACATGCTCAAAGTTATCATTAACATATTAGAAACTATTCTATATACGAGTCAACTACGTTTTAAAATAAATTATACACTTCCATATTAATTGCTTACTGAAAATTTAATAATATTCTATTTTCAAGACTTGAGTTCACTGGTTACATTAAATTATATACTTATATATTTGTAGGTACTTGGGAGTGATAGACATTTCCATCTGTTCAACTCTTAGTCTACTCTATCTGGTAATAATTCACATCGCGCTGATATATAATTCATATAATATAAAAAACATTTGTTATGAAATGCAACTTACACAGAGCGGGTCAAACCAAGGTCGTATTGCTTATAAACACTTCAGTGATTCAAAATTCATACTTAAATAATAAAATTTCAGATTAACCGACTAACAAGCGCGATAAACTTATGTAGTTCAAAACTATAAGTGTAGACCAGGTTGACCATTTCTTACTTAAATTTTAGTTACCTTTCTTTGCAAATGCACGTGCAATATGTTTATGCATACATGTATTTGTAGTCACCATGATTAGTTTGGTTTATATAATACCATCACAGGTGTTCAATATTAAAACTAGTTTTCTTTTAAAGTAAGGCACTTTTATCATAGCACCGCCACATTTAAACAAATTCATATCAGTATCCAATCCGAATATTGGTAATTATCCAAGGCCCATAACAAATTTTGGTATTTGATAAGTGAAATGTGGTATTGACATGATCACTGACATTCTGGAATAAACAATAAACAATATTATATTAAATATAATTTCTGAAATTTTATCATGTGAATAAATATTTTTAATTAAATATTATAACAATTTGAACTTTAATGCCCTGAACAAGAAAATAATTCCAATATTATGTTTTTCTAATAACGCTTATTTCAATATTCTAAAATCACAACTATATACTTAATTGTACTAAAAGAGGCAAATATGAAATTACCAAAAAATATGTAAAATAAGTATGTGGTAACTATATTTAAAATATAGTTAAAAGATGCCTTTATGTGTGTATAAATTTTTGTGTCGATACATTTAATAGTTTTCACATGAAAAACTCTAGAAAAGTGGCTTTTTTCAGCCGATTAAGTGTATATAACCCCTTGAAATCTTTCATCAAAATGTTAGGACATTTTGAACTTCAATTAAATTCATATTATATAATATGTTGTTAATTTTTATTTGGAAAAATAGTATGCCCTGTAATTCTATAAAATTACAAATACGATTCATGTTTTCAACATAAATTTATTTGTATTTTTTAAGATCTGATCAAAATTGAATTTTGTTTATCAATATGCAAGGAAAAATAAATATATAAATTAATACACAAATATGTTTTAAAACTAAATATGAACTTTGCCTTCACCATTTCGAATCAAATTAAATGAACAAATAATTAACCAGTTAACTGTGATTGGCCAGTATACTCGTAATGGAGAGTGGCAGAATTTTGTGTATTGACGAGTATACTTGTCACGCGTGTAAATCTAGCAATTGACTATTTAGATTGGATTTTAAAAAAAATCATTCTCAAATGTCAAGATATTTAGAATATCTTGAGCCTACACTGGTATAAAATAAATATACAACTATGTATTTTATACCGGCGTAGGCTCAAGATATAACATTTTACTTTCAAACAACATTTTGCCTCGATTCTGGCGACACAAAACTGTGCGCACAGTTTAATGAGCGCGTCACGATTAACTGGTTAAAAAAGCACTTAAAATATAAAATATAAGACTAAGATTAATTTACAAAAATTACTCACCTTAATCATAATGAAAAAATCTGAATTCTTGTGTAAATTCATAAGATTTACATGGCAAGTTCCGGTAACGATCTCATTTATAAATTTCTACCACCAAGACCACTCATCGCTTGTAGTAGTAGTTCTATCACCAGAGGAATGCATAGTGCAAATATTTACATAAGCGTGAATGGGTTAGAATATTATTGTAACATTTAAACATTATTTAACTACTATTAATTAAAATAATAAATATTCTAATAAACTTATACTACCCTTACACTTATATTTCCAAACCATAGCTGATGTTATATTTACATAAATTAATTATTCATGCAAAATCAAATACATTTTATTTAGTAACTAAAACAGTATAATTCGCAATGATTATGTACGAATTATTTAAAAACATGTAATTTTAACTTATCTCTAATCGTGAGCACAGTAATACAAAATGGAAAATTTCGAGACGATTTTGAGGAAAGTGAAGTTTCATTGAAATTAGGGTAGAGCATAAGGGTCCGCGGGTAAAAAGATCCACCACCGATATCTCAAAAACCAGAAAAGTTAAAAATTCTTTAACAACAATATTTGAAAGTAGACGGAAAAGGATGTAAAGATGTATGCCTTCGCCTTGATTCTTGATGTTGGTTTGGTTTTCACAATATTGCTCAAAGTCAAATTGTACCCGCCCTACCCTATATCAAAATTCATATACATGAACTTAACAATGAATTAGATCGGGCAAAAGAATCACAGCAAAATAGTCAGATAGAAAAAAAACAGAAAAAATACTAGCAGCTATAAATATCTTTGAATTCCTATATCTCTTAAAGATATTTTAATGTTCACATACATTTGAACAACTAATTCTCAAAATAAAAACAAATTGTTCTTGTTGCATTGTTCTTAAACAAGATAAATAATAATGATCATGAAATTGACCTTTTTTTTTTATCATTTAAATATTAAGAATTACTTGATATAAGTACTATGCATTAAATTATTTATTATATAATATGGATATCGTTCGCCTATCAAATTTTTTGCGAATAATTTCAACGGTTTCACATACTCTATAGTAATAGAAAATTAGGCTAGAATTTATCGATATGGCACATATTATAGATATGAAAAGTGTACTCACGATGCCGAAAATCCACGATAAATCCAATCCCTCCAGCCGCCGGAGCTTCCAGCTACAACACCGCCTGAGTTACCAGCTATACGCGATTCCACATCAGTACACAGTGCTCGCCTATCAGAGAAAGCACACAACAATTTCAATTACGTAGAACTTTTTTTATTATATTTATTATGATGCTGTACATAACTAGTGGTGCAACATCGTGCCTTAAGGCAAATTTCTGGAACTTCCCGTACCAAAAATTAAATTTTTTAAAAAATATTAATTTTTTTTTCTACTTAAAAAAATAATTTTTTGAGATATTTAAAGTTTATGAAAAAAATTGACTTAAAAAAAAACTTTGTAATTTTTTTTATATTCTGAAATATTTTGGAAATTTTGAATTTTTTTTTGAAGCAATGTTACGGAACTCATAGAAATGTAAACTAAATTTATACGTATTCTTAAAATCTCCAGAAAATATCTGATATTTTGATGTGCATGTGTCTAATGATCATTTTTGACCGCCAATTTTTTTACTTTTTTTACTAGATTTGCCTTCCCAAAAATTAAATCAGTTCTTCATCTTGTCAATGTTTTTTGAATTATTAAAATCGGACGCCCCGTTCTCTTAAAAACGGAGTTACCGTTTTTGGCGCTTTTTAACTGTATCTTCGAAACGACTAGACTGCCAAAAACTAATCATCTCGTCTCCTTATCTTAAATCATTGAAGTCGGTTTAACCGTGTTCTCGAAATCGTCGATAAAAGTTTGTATCCGAACACACACACACACACACACATACATCCATATTTTCATTTTCGATTTTTTTGCGATCACTATAACTTACCTCACGGGAAGTTAAAAAAAACTGCCGATATTGAAAAAATACATTGTGCGTGTTTGTTAAAACTTATCGACCAATAAACCCGTATTTCCAAAACGGCTGGACCCGTCTTTGCCAAAAACTAATCACCACTTCTCCACATCATTACGAATTGAATGTTTTTTAAATACTCAAATCAGATGCTCTGCTCTTTCATAAACTTAATTTTCATTTTCTGCACTCTTTGCTTCGATCTCCAAAATGGCTGGACCGACCAATTGCAAAAACTAATTAGCACTAATCCCCATAAGTAGTAATAAAATGCTTTTTGACTAATTCAAATCAGTTGAGCGGTGCTCCCGAAAACGACGACAAAAACTTGTAGCTGCACATACATACATACACACACATCCATTTTTTTCAATTTCGACTTTTGGACAATTACTATAAGTTTCCCTACGGGAAGTTAATTAATAAATAATTTGAATCTAATATGAAATATACCTGTCATGGGATCTTCCTGATTTTGCATCACAAAGTACTCTCGTTCTGCATGCAGTATCACATTGAGGTCTAACTGGAGAGTTTTTCCAATAATTCCTATTAAAACGGCAAATAAATAAAATAACTAATAAAGTCTTTCGCATTACTTGCAGATTTTTCACATATTTATTTATAATTACTTGTAGTAACTGTCAAATAGCGTCTGATCAGCTGCCAATTTGGCAACCAGTTCATCCCAGTCCTTCGGCCTTAGTGCTTGCATATCGTAAGCAGATCTGGCTGAATATAACTTGTACCAAATAGGATAATCATATAAATTGGCTTCTTTTAAATTCATTATCCATGATTCATGATCTACGACAGTCTTCATACAAACATGAAAAATACATCATTACGTCAGTAATCATAAGTAAGAAAACATTAAGATATCAAATGGGATGAAAAAACATTGAAATGATTCACTTTGAGTGGTCTGGTAAAAATGATGTTAAATTTTTTCATAATCAAGGTTTCCAATAATATATCTGATACACTGATATGATGATACTGATACTTCAAAAATATCAAAAAATTTAATTACCAAACTCATCAAACGTTTTGGAAAAGACATCGTTATTAGCATAAAATTAAATTTAATTTATAGAAGAGCAAACCAAGTTATTACATTGCAAATAAAATTACTCACTCTAGTTGTATCGTCGTGATCACCATCCACATAATATATTCTGTATCCGGGATTTAAATCATAATATGGTGAAACAGATGGTCCAACGTAGGCGACACTAACAGCTCGCGCTAAAATTCGATAAAAATTATTTGTAAGAATTCTTCTTCCCTAAATTCAATATGTTGCTCCTATTGCATACTCACACAAATCTTTAGGGTCATAAAAAACTTCAAATTCATCAAAATGAGTATGACCAAAAAATTGCGCAGTTATTGTGTGCTCGTATCTCGCGATGATTTTGTAATAATTTCTACTCCACACTTTCAAGCAGTCAGCATGGCCCGGTGGGATATGACCTGTTTGAAAATTTATTATAATAATTTATTGAAGCACAAGGTGGATTATTGTGTTTTAATTCAAGTTCTCACCAATGATGTGTACCTTCTCGCCCGAGAATTCGGCAGATTGTAACTCATAGATGAACCATTGTAGTTCTGTGGCTGGATCAGTAGAATTTAGAAGTAACCACCTAATGTAAATGATGCAAAATACTTTATATATATATATATATATATATATATATATATATATATATAATATTTACATGAGTTAGAAGATACAATTTTTTATGTTATGTTAAGTTATGTTAGTCACCGATTTTGAAAACACCATTTCGAGAAAATTTTAACGCGTTTTTCTCGAAATGGTGTTTTCAAAATCGGTGATCAACATAACTCAAAAATGGCTAATCCGATTAGATCAAAATTTTAACAGAATCTTTTTAAATATATTTTTTTGTGATTAATCGAAGATTTTTCCTATTCGATAAATATTTTGGTTTTTATGAACAATTTAAGATCGGCTAAAAACCGATTACTTTTGAAAAACAGTCATTTTATCAACAATTATTATTTTGCTCATTGCTCCGATTAATTGCTAGGTTTATCATTTCTTTATTGAAATCTTTTTCGTTTTTTACTTTCGGATGATTTTCTTCAGAGATAGAGTAGTCACCGCAAAACGTGCTTTTCGAGAGGTGCTCTCGCAGATCTGCTATTACTTTTTTTCTAATAAATATTTTTACCTATAGTTAGAAGATACCATTTTTTTAGACATTTTATATACCAAAGATTTATTAACAAAACTAGCGCAAATCAAGACTAATTTACTGCTAGGTTCTGTAGGAACGTACTGACCTAAATAAAACATATATTGTAATATAAATAATGTAATGCTAATGTCTAACAATAAGTAGATACATACATTTTCAATAAAGTACTAAAGTACTTATTCATTGTAGTATTTTCTTTTGTAGCGTATGTATTGTGGCGTATAGTATATTATGAAAATATACTATATGAGTATTCAAGTAAAATTTCGACACTTTAATCGTAAAAGATCACAAAGTAATCATAATTATCCTGTACTTCAAACGTAAGTGATTTTTAATTTCAAGTTACATTTATTTAGAGTAATAAATAAATATTGTATAAATTTCAATGTTAAAATATAAGAAACGTCCACTTGAACGTGCAAATCTCATGTTTATTTATTTATGGTGCAGATGTACACAAATACGAAACGACAACCATGAAGATACATGTTACCTCTTATGCACGGAACTTTTTCAAAATATATTTATACATAATATAAATAAATATTTGAAATATATTCATACATAATATACATAATATAAATAATATTTATACATAATATAAATATAATTAGCTTCTAGTAATTCATTTTTAACGTTGGTAACTTTATTTTGAAAAATCATATATTTATTACATCGAATGAAACGAAAAGTGTATAAAGGATGTAAATTCTAAATATAGAAAATAGAGTAACTGAAGTCAATAATTCGCACGATAACGAAGGCTAAATATTCGATCTTACAATAAAAACTATCGTTTTACATCAACATACCAATTCTTGTTGTTGCAATAGTTCATGTTAAGAGAAATCACACGGAAACCAGGTCGAACAAGAACTGAATAGAAGGCGCCGCGACGTACGGTATGTGAAACGCTCGCAGGAAGCCACCGGCGCCACTGGGCGTCTAGTTCGTCGTAAAGCCAGGCGATCGCCGAGTCCCGCTGTCGCACATACGGAGGTGGAAAGCTGCGGAAAAGAAAGAAACATACCTTCAATATCAAGTCTTATGAACTCATTTGTTAAATACAACATATTACATGTTAGTGAGGAACAATGGAAATTAAATGGTGCTGAAAAGTTTTTCTCTAATCGATTAATGTGTAAAAGAATACAAAAGGCATCGTACTAGTATACAGTCAACCCTCGGTTTACACGGCACTGTGGCTACAAGGTTCCCATACTACGCGGAGCTAAAAATCCGGCATCCCTCCGACTACACGGACTTCCTATTACATGGTTTTTGTTCAACAGCCCATAAGTTTCTTGCGCAATCTATGAGTGATTATAGGAACTTGATATCAAAAGGCTATTAATGTAAGTTTTGTTATCGACTTTTATCTTTTAAACATGCCTGATTATATAATAGTTGTCTAAAAACACCTTTGAGCTGACTACTGCGTCGCGCTAATTTTTGAATAAGATGTCTATGTCATACATGTAATTTAGTCCGTATTACTCCTACTTCAAGTTGTATTCCTTGGTCTCTATACAGCACGATAAAAATGGTGCGATTTGTACTAACTCTGAGTCTCTCATAACTCGGTTCCCATACTACACTATATAAGGTTCCATAGCACGCACTACGAATTAGCCTGAATTGTATGTTAAATACGAGTTTTTTATAGCACGGTCCCCATACTGCACGGTACGCACTTGCCGCGTAAAGCGAGGGTTTACTGTATCACACTTAACCAGATAACGGTAACTGACCAGTATTACTCGTCATTAAGATGTGGTACAATTTTGTGTATTGACTAATATACTCGCCACGCGTATAAATTTTTCACCATTGACTAGATCATAAATTTTAAATGAGAAAAAACTAAAAATATCTTCAAATTTCAAGATATTTAAAACATTTTGAAGCTTCGCCAGTATAAAGTAAATAGTTGTAAGTGGAATTTTACCTCAAAACAATATTTTACCTCGTTTCTGACGACATAAATTTGTGCGCATAGTTCGCTAAGAGATATCCCAGTCAAATTAGAATTTAAGTTAATAATTCGCATAGAGCTGAAAATTAGCGCAAATGTTAAATAGGCGATTATAAATTAAATGGAAAAGTTCATATCGATCCGACCTCGGCAATTTTTTTTATTCAGGGTTTCAATAGAAAATTGTGGTTTTTCCCATTTTCCGCGTAAACTATAACTATCAACAATTTTTGGCTCTATGCGAATTATTGTTAACTTACGGTTTTTTTGCTGGGGTAAGAACTGATTATTTGTTAATACAAAATGCATACACTCCTTGATCATTGTCATGTAACTCATATTTTCATTAATAAGAACAAAGAAAGTTCGCATTGGAGATTTTTAAAGGCATATCATTTGATATCTATGAAAATATCTAAAGTAGCTATCTAAAGTAGTAGATATAAGTAAAAACTCATTTAAAAAGTTACCTATGATACGCACGTTTTGAGATTCGACAATTTTTTGCAATTGTCTAATTAAATTCATACGAATATAAATTTTATTCAAATATATTAATTTAACCTGTTTACTGGAGCTGATTCGTGATTTCCTAGTGCGGGAAATATAGGAATTCCGGGAAATACATCTGACATCTGCTTAACAGTTTCTTTGAGAATTTTCAGATTTTCTTCTCTGGTCTGATTCCAGACATCATGGGGCGGCAAATCTCCTGTCCACAAAATATAATCGATATCCTAAAAAAACAAATTTACACAATATTATTTATATGACTATCAATTATTAGTTGAATTAGTTTTATGGCGATATGTTATGAATATCTATTTACTAAAATAGATATCATGTTCTAATAATAATACACAATTGTAAAAATTTCAAGATATGGTAAAATTCGTTAAATGTAGTATCTGCTTCATTAATCCATTTTAGTCATAATAAAATTAAAGTAGCGAACTTGAGAAATTCGAGCCGAAGACTGTATAAAAGATCACTAACATTTACTTTACATTTTACAACTAAAAATATTTCTTTACTGCAGTATTTGCAAAAATTAATATTAAAAAATTGCACAAGCAAATCGTTCCAAACGCATTCCGAAGTATATTTTAGACTTATCTATATGAGTGCTTTGTAATATTACATTATTCAAATTCATTTTAGTAAATTATAAAATTTAAATGTTGGTTTTGTATTAAGTTAATAATAATTATATCAGAAGAACAGCTACCATAATAGGTGATATGAAAATGGTAATAATAACAATAATAATGGGCATCGCCGTTTTTAAGCGATTGTTGAATTAAATATTTTGTGATGCTATAAATGAATGTTTTCAAAATACGCCGGGCATTGTTAATTATAAGATAAATTTATCATGTACATATTAATTGAAGCATTTATATTTTCGTAAGAAACATATTGAACAATCATTAATAACAATGTTATTTGAAATTTTTTATTTCCCGTTAAATTGAACAGTTATTGACATATACTCGAACACGCTAGGTTATAAGTGCCTAGTATCACGATTCTATGTATACTGATTTGTAAATTTAAAATATAACATAAAAATTGTCAATTTTAAGAACTCTTTCTAGAAGGTGCAGCTTACAAAAATAAAATATTACACCCAAATAGACGGAATTTAGTATTTCCCTATAATTAAGGTGACGTATGCAGCACATTCCCCGATTTTCCCCTTGTGTCCCGAGTTTTTCTAAATGCCCGGATTTAGATTTTTTGTCCTGGATTGTCCCGGGTTTTTTAAAAGTAACAGCTTAAATTGAATCTTATCTGAAAACTAGTGAAGCGCATAGCATCGTGCCTCAAGGCAAATTGCTGGAACTTCCCGTATCAAAAATTATTATTTTTTTAAAAACGATTAACATTTTTGAAAAAAATTAGATTTTTGAGAAACTATAAATTTGACAAAAAATTATTTTTTTTTGAAAAAAAAACGAATAAAAAATTTTCTTTATTTTGACATATTTTGGAAATTCTGAACTTTTTTTCAAAGCAAACGTACTGCTTTAACAGCATAGAGACGAAATGTCAAAGCGCGTAAGCGCCGCGTCGCCGTCTAACAGATAAACATTGGTACGGAGCCGATAGGAATGTAAACAAAATTTATACTTAATGTTAAAATCTCTATAAAATATCTGATAATTTTATGTGCATATGTCTAATAATCATTTTTGATCGCCAAATGGCTTTTTTTTTTTCTTTTTTCATTAGATCTCCGAAACCGCTAGACTTGCACTCATGAAAATTTGATCAAATCTTCATCTTGTCAATACAAGTAAAATGTTTTTTGAATTATTAAAATCGGACGCTCCGTTCTCTTAAAAACTGAGTTACCATTTTTGGCACTTTTTGCCCCGTATCTTCGGAATGGCTAAACCTGCCTTCGCCAAAAATATTGTTATTGTGATAAGCACGTCTCCTTCTCAATACGAATCTAATGTTTTTTGAATTATTCAAATCGGTTGATCGATGTTCCCGAAATCGTCGACGAAAATTTGTATCCGCATACACACACACGCACACACACACACATACATCCATTTTTTCTAAGGTATGCCAAAATATTCAGAAACATTTGAAACTTAAAGATATATAAAAATTTTCATGTTCGATTTTTTTGCGATTACTATAACTTGCCCTACGGAAAGTTAAATATATATACTACGAGTATGCATGTATAAAACAATATTTATGAATGCGATAATTGCCGAATGCAAAATTACAAAAGTAAGTTAAAAAAGCCCATCACGTTTTTAATTTTAAACTCTCATTTTCATTAGACTAACCTGATGCGTTTCCGTAATGTGTTTCAGCATATGATCAACCGTTCTTTTCGGCGTATCGCACTTTCGGTAATCGCCCCATCGACCAGCGCCTCCGCCGGGTGTCAGCGACGGCCCATTGGTTAGACGGCAACAGAGCGGCTCGTTGCAATCGGCATTTGAACCTTTATAAATAATTAAAGAATTTATTTATCAAAAATAATAATGCTGATTCATTAAATTTAACCCTTTCGCTACGTGCGGTGTCAATACGCCCATCCGCTTGACGACCTGATTTGTCTATCGCCTATAAATGACATTCAGAGTTTAAGCTTTTGATTCAAAATTTATCACTTTCTCAAAATTATTAAAATTGTAATTTTTAGCTTTTCAGAAGTATTATTGATAATGATTGGAAAATTTTAAAATATTTTGTATAATAAATATTTGGGCGGCTTGTTAGCTCGTACAGCAGTGTCATTGCTGCGGTCAAAGCAGTAGTTCGCACTGGTGTAACGTACAATAAGAATCCTTTTCATTAATATATTTTATGAAAACAATTATTTTCACGATATAACGTATCCGTTATAATTCATCATCATTGCATATGGATAAATATTCTACTAAACAATTGGTGCATGGCACCGTGCCTTAAGGCAAACTGCTACAACATCTCATACCGAAAATTAAATTTTTTAAAAAAGCTTTAATTTTTTTTGAGAAAATTTGATATTTTTGAAAAGTTTTGTTCATATTTTTTCATAACTTTTTGAAAATTTAGAACTTTTTTTTTCGAAGCAATTGTGCTGCGTAAAGAAGAAATATTGAAGCGCGTTTGATGTGCATATGTGTAATAATCTTTCTTGACTGCCAAATTGCAATTTCTTTTACATTTTTATTGGATCTCCGAAACCGCTAGACCCATCTTCACCAGTCGTTCACTTCATCAATACAAGTAAAATATTTTTCGAATCATTCAAATCGGACGCTCCGTTCTGACAAAAACTGAACTACCATTTTTGGCACTTTTTTCCCCGTATCTCCAGCAACGAAATCAGCATGTCTCCTTATCAATAGGAATCGAGTATTTTTTGAATCATTCAAATCGGTTGATTTGTGTTCTCGGAATCATCAACGAAAAATTGTATCCGCACATACATACACACACACATACATCAATTTTTTCTAAAGGATGACAAAATGTTCAGAAACCTCTAAAAAGTAAAGATATATAAAAATTTTCATTCTCGACTTTTTTGCGATTACTATCATTTACTCTAAGGGGCGTTAATAATAAACAAGTATTTTTATTTTAAGAACCTTGTTTATAAAAATGATCATTTTCTGAGTTGACACGTAGTTTTTTTATAAGAATTATAATTAAAACTTGACTACAAAATTATTTATCAACTATTTGTTTAATTTTTATACTTTTTAACTTCCCGTAGGGTAAGTTAAAAAGTATAAGTTAATAAAGTATAAATAAAGTTATAGTAATCGCAAAAAAATCGAAAATGAAAATTTTTTGCATTTCTCGACGTTTCAAAGGTTTCTGAATATTTTGGCATACCTTAGAAAAAATGGATGTATGTGTGTGTGTGTGTGTGTGTGTGTGCGTGTGTGTATGTATGTGCGGATACAAATTTTCGTCGACGATTTCGGGAACACCGATCAACCGATTTGAATAATTCAAAAACATTCGATTCGTATTGATAAGGAGACGTGCTGATTAGTTTTTTTGGCAAAGTCAGGTCTAGCTGTTCCGAAGATCGCAAAAAAATCGAAAATGAAAATTTTTGCATTTCTCGACGTTTCAAAGGTTTCTGAATATTTTGGCATACCTTAGAAAAAATGGATGTATGTTGTGTGTGTGTGTGTGGTGTGGCGTGTGTGTATGTATGTGTGCGGATACAAATTTTCGTCGACGATTTCGGGAACACCGATCAACCGATTTGAATAATTCAAAAAACATTCGATTCGTATTGATAAGGAGACGTGCTGATTAGTTTTTGGCAAAGTCAGGTCTAGCTGTTCCGAAGATACGGGGCAAAAAGTGCCGAAAACGGTAACTCAGTTTTTAAGAGAACGGAGCGTCCGATTTAATAATTCAAAAACATTTTACTTGTATTGACAAGGTGAAGAACCGATCAAATTTTCATAAAGGCAGATCTAGCGGTTTCGGAGATCTAATGAAAAAAGTAAAAAAAAATGCCATTTGGCGGTCAAAAATGATCATTAGACATATGCACATCAAATTATCAGATATTTCATAGAGATTTTAACAATAAGTATAATTTTGGTTTACATTCCTATGGGTTCCGTACCAATGTTTACGCGTTAGACGTCGATGCGGCGCTTACGCGGTTTGATATTTCATTTTTATGCAGTTAAAGTAGTACGATTGCTTTGAAAAAAATTTTAGATCTTTCAAAATATGTCAAAATAAAGAAAACATTTTTTTTCAAAAAAAAAAATTAGAAAAAATTTTTTTAAAAAAAAAAAGTAATTTTATGTCTAATTATTTGTCAAAAATCTTATTTTTTCGAAGTAAATTTTTTTCAAAAATGTCAATCGTTTTTAAAAAAATAATAATTTTTGGTACGGGAAGTACCAGCAATTTGCCTTAAGGCACGATGCCTTAATTGCCTTAAGACAGAATTCCACTTACAGCTAGTTAATTTTATATTAAATGCCTGAACGTTTTTATATATTATTAAGTAGAAACATGATAAAGAAACAAAACAACGACAATTCATATTTCGAAGTTATGGAATAAATATCGAGCTTATAAATTATTATAAAATTATTAGAAGATATATTTCTCATAATCTTACCTAGTGAACAAAATGTCTTAAATTTTTATAAAAGTTAATATCTAAACCTTGCTAATACTCAGATTTAAAGGAATTCTAACCGTAAATCATATAGTATTATCAGAATAAGATACATAATAAAAATTCGAAAACCACTTATCATTATCAGTAAAAATCATGCAAATGTACATGCAGCATAATTCTCTTATTATTTAGCGCTGCATTGAAACTAAAATAATTCATAATTATTAAGTTAAACAATTATTAACCTTTTATGTTTCCTGATAATTGTTATTAGAAATAATCGCGTGTCACTTAAATAATTATTTTCACACTTGTGAATGCATAATGCTCGCTAATGCACAGGAAATAATATGGCAGAAAAATAATCGATCATCATTCATTCTGTTAATTATAAATTAAAAATATTATATAATAAATATGTACATACAAAGATCAATAGATCGTTATCGAAGAAAAACTATTTAATATTCAAATAAAATGAGCTTTTAAATTATGTGTTGCCATATAATTAAAAAGGAAAGTAAAATATTCATACTAGGTTATTCAAACAAGTATTACAACTAGCAACATAACTGGTACATTTACGATGATAAAATTGAATAATTTTTTCCAAAATTATTTGCTTTATAATTGCAACCAATTTTGTCTAAACTTATTTTGCTGTAATAAATTCAATAATAGATCCTTGTCAAAAATTGAAAATTCGTAGCTCTTTTACTATTAAAGAACTACTGGTTTGCCCCGAGGATTAGTGATTAGAGATACGGGAATTAATTCACAGGTACCTCCATGTACAATACCCGCCTCAGGCAGTCCGATGTCGAGCAGTAGTGACATCGGTTTTCATTTGGAAACATACACAATGTTTCCCAGTAAAAAATAGCTCAACAATAACAAACTCGTCACTACTACAGAAATTGTATTATTATTGTAATTGCAATTCATCCCATAAAGAGAGGACATCTGTTTGTATAGCCACCTACAGAACTGACGTAGTCAGTTAAGTCAAATCAATACAACACTTTATAGGACCCTTAAATATTAATCACAACTCAAATTACATAAAAAATAAAAAATATATAAATATATAGAATTACTAACCTTCAGCATAATAGGGATCGTAATGCGTATCTGATATATGAAGAACCTTAAAAGCGGGTGCACCAGGTTTTGGTATTTGCTGATTAGCATCTGCCTGCATTGAAACAAATGAATTAATTATTAAAAATATAATAAACAATTTTAATATTTATAGATAGTTTATAAACAACATAAACATCTAAAGAGACAAATAAATGAAAGTAAAATATTGATCTTCATAATACCCATACAAAAAGTTGATGGTAACATTCGTACTATTGTCACCATTAACGTGATGCTATATGCTATTATGAAAATAATATAAGTTTTTAAGCAAATGTTGAAAATATTTTCAATGTTATTTTTCTAAAATGAGTTGTTAGACATAGGTATCTTGGAGCTATTCTCGTCTCGTTACAAGGCAGAAACCGTACTCTACAGTGTACTCTACACTTACAGCACTACGGAATTATATTTTCGTGAATAAAGTAAGATTCTTATATAATAGTTATATACAGTAGTGTTTAGAGTCGTCGAAGAGCAATCCCTATACATGCCAACAAGTAATACAATCGTCAAAGCACTTTTTCAAAGCCTTTAAAAGGATCTCCGTCAGCTTCTTCAGCGGTTTTTCCTTAGTGGGTCTATAGACCCAAAGCGGTGTCTACCAATAGGTAATTTAAGTTCTGGGAAAAGAAATAATGTACAAAGATAGATCTAGTAAATACGGTGGTTGTCTCATGATATTTCAAGTGTTTTTCGCCAAAAAAGCGTTCATAATATGGGATTATGCTCGTCTAAGTCGACATCCAAACCAATTAGCGTGTGACCTGCTCAAGTCTTTACCGCCAAAGCGTCTCAAAAACAGAATCTGCAATGATTTACTACATCAAAACATATCAAATCCTTCTCACGCTGTCAAATAAAATATACCTGTAAAGTAGCTGAATATACTGTGTGTATAGTTTGCTATGTACAATAAAACATAAAAATAAAATAAAAACTAGTGGGGTCGTGCATCGTGCCTTCAGGCAAATTGCTGGAACCTCCCGTACCGTAACGAAATATTCGAGGAATATTAAATGTTTTCAAATAGATTATTATGAATATTGTAACATTGTTTAATATTTATAAGAATTATGTAAACTGAGTTGCAAAGTTGAAATTATTTGTTTAAAGTATATTAGAACTATAGTCAGAATTAAAAATAAAATCTTAATTATTTGCGATATACAAAAATTTTTTTTTTGGTAAAAAAAAATTGAAAGCAAAAGTTGAAATAAAATTTTTTTTTTCCAAAATCAATTATTTTGTTAAGACAAGCAGAAAGTTCTTTGAGTCATTTAAATCGGACGCTTAGTTCTTTCAAAAACTGCCATTGAGCTCCGTATCTCCGTAACGGCTGGACCTGCCTTTACCAAAAACTAATCAGCACATCTCTCTATCAATTGGAATCGAATGTTTTTTGAACCATTTAAATCGGTTGATCCGTGCGCCTGAAAACGTGACCGAAAAACTGTATCCATACATACACACACACACACACAGATCAATTTTTTCTGAGGTATGCCAAAATGCTCAGAAACCTTCAAAACGTCGAGAAATGTAAATAATTTCAATTTCGATTTTCGGCCCATTACAATAACTTACCCTACGGGAAGTTAATAATATGGAATTTATGGGAAGAAAGTTCAACACTCGTGGAACATGTCGAACAGCAAAGCGTCCCATGACCAACTTGATATGAATTGACTCGTTAGATACGTTGAGGTCAAAAACTGACTTCCTTGAGCCTAAATGGCGATTTACCAGCACAATTTTCTTGACTGAGGTAACGTTTTCATTCGACTTCTCGGCGCTCTGCCAATGACTAACACAACTCATAAGCCACAATTTTTGATAAAGTAGACCTGCCATAGGCTTTATGTATAGTATACATACAATATGCATTATGTTCGAAACATAAAACTTAAGACAAAGCCTTTACTCGATTATTTTGTTTCTTGTGAAAATGCCCAATTACCTATGCTTGTAGTAAACCGACGTAATCAAATGCAAATAACAAGATAATTAACGGATGACGATCAAACTTTGCACCAATATTAAGGACATTTCGGCAAAAAAACTTTACCTATTTATGACAGCCTTTTTTTAAATGAGCCTGTATGTAGTTTAAATTAACATTGATTTCTATATAAAAACAAATAACATAGTACTATAGGGCGCAAAGTTGTAACGAAATTTGTATTCGGCAAATCGGAAAATTTTGAGTATTACTAGTTACGTTTTATTTATTAGAAACTTTTTTATTTTATGAAATTTATAAGAAATACAAATTTAAATGCAGATTTTAGAATGACCGTATAATTTACCACGTGATACATGTGTCCACTTATAAATTAATATGTATATACAATTAGTATGTTTATATTCACATATATCAAGTATGAATACATATTGCTTCTTATTCATAATTTTATGGCGTGATTCATTTTGTTATTGCTTAAATCGACCTAAATGGAAATAATTGCAGATAAATGTTTCATCTGAAATGCGCTTCGTCAGTCGTAATTAGTCCAAATTGATTTTATTGCAGCCATCATTTGCAATTAAGTTCGCTTTATTATGGCAAGTACTACGATGCACGATTCACCATCGGAAGAATTTTAAAAAACAAACAACATATTTAGGTGCGAAAACTGAGTATTTATAGAAGTGATAATATGAGAGAAAGAAAACGTATAAATCATACATATGATATTTGGAAAAGTTTCTGAAGATTCTTTGAACTTCTTACTCTGAAGAAGAGTAAAGAAGAGGATATAACATAAGAGATAATTATAAATAAAATATTAAATAATTTTGTGACAATGAGATTTTTAATAGAATAGTAACTAAACGTTATTTAGTAATTTTTTTGGTAATATATGAACCAAAACCTACAAAATCGTTATATTATTATATTTATTCACTATTTGAAATATTGTATATCCAAAATATTTAAGCTATTCAAGAAGGAGTAGATACTTCTCTACCCATTAAAATCATCTCTAACCTTTACTAAATAAGCTTTAAAAGGTCTAATTTTTTCTAAAAACTGATATTAAACATTTTCATTACTATCTCTATTTCTATTTGCGACAGATCTGGCTTTACTAATTTTCATTACTATTTCTATTTTCACAGATATTAAACTTCATGAAAATAAGCAATTTCATTTCGAGTGATGGATCGTTGAATAATGTCATCAAACTTTTATCGGCCAAGCAATAAAAAATTTCACTCCAAAATAATTAAGGAAAAGCAAACATTGAGCACATAACTTTCTCCTGTTGTTCTCAAGAAAATCTCAAAATTGTCTGATTGAGCAGAAAAATCAGTTCTATAAACAACTATTTCTCCTATTGGAATTGATTGAATTATTATTTTTTTATTCCCAGGAATTCCGTTGTGCATATTTTTGCATTGTTATACATTAAATATTTATAAAATTCTTATTACGGTTTCGTACAAATATTTATATTAGAGAACCTGCTCATGATAATTATGTCAAAATAAATACTAGTTAATAACAAAAACTATCGAATTAATAACAAAAATTAAATAATGGTAATTATCAAGTATTACTCACATAATATGTGTTATGTTAGTATCGAATAAGACCCAGAAAAATGACTCGTTACTCATAAATTATCAATGGTTTAATGTTTTTAAATTAATATATATTGATATGTAATAATAATCAATCACTAACCTTATAGAGTGTCATATAATCAAACTTTGAATTCATTATTATTTATCTTTTCAAATTCATGCTTTTGTAAATTGTATTATGATTTGTTTAGTGATAGAAATGAATATTTATGCAAATTGGAAGATACGATGGTAATTTAATTACGGTTATATTTACAAGCAATAAGAACTTATAAGTTCTGTTCTAAAACATAAAATAAAATAATTAATTTTTAAGTGCTATGTAATTATCGGAGTCAAAAACCGTTTGTAACTTACGGTCTAATTCATATGCTTAGCCGAGCATTTGAATGTTATCGAAACCTGCATTTTTATTATAAAAATTTAGCTCATTCTTATGGGCATATATATTTTTCAAATATATTATGATAATTGTATACCAAAATGCTTTTCTATTTTCTAATTTTTGCTAACATACTTAAGAAAAAATTAAAAATTCCATATTTTAAAGAAAATGTAGCTTTAGTTCGTCAAGAAGAAGCATGTAGAAGACTATATTCTTCTTTATTTATCAATCATGTTAGCTGTCAGAATTATATATATATTTAGAAATTGTAATCTGTAAAACTGATCATCATGATTCCTAAATGATACCATTTTTAAATTACCAAAATCGGTTCAGGATTTTATGCAAAAACGTAGACAAAAAACTTACACTTTTTTGCTAATTCTAAAGAACAGGCTCGGTCGATCGTCTCAATTCAAACGGGAATGATTTTAAATTTTTGAAATAAGTGCAGCAGTTTCCAAAGAAAAATTGAAATTGTGGCTAACGTATGCACATACACGCACACTTCTTCCAAATTTAATGTCAAATGGTTTAGAATAATTAGAAGCATCGAGAAAACATAAAATTAGCAAATCGGTATACCTGGCAAAAACACACCTCTCCTTTAGAAAACTGATATAGGTGCTACTAAAGTTTATACAAAAACCGACATTTCAGAAAACCGGTTTTCGAATTTTCATTTTACTAAAAAAAAACGGTTTTAACCGGTTTTCGAATTTTATATAGAAAATAAATTTTTGCTCAAACATTCTGTAATTTATCCGCAAATTTAGTGTAATTTAGAGCAGTATTTGACTGAATGTATTTATTGTTCCATTTTATAGATAGTAAACAAAATTATTTTAATTTTCTTTAGTAGAACTAAAAAATAATTGTTTGTCTTGATTAAATAACTTTGAAAATAATTATTCGTATTTATGAATCATTTTCACATATAAAAATTAAAATATTTTCATGGTAGTGAAAGGAAAGTTTTCGAATAAATAAAAATAATAAATTTCTAAATAAAAAAAAAATCATTGAAGAAATAAATAAATAAAGAAATATTAGATACATTTTGATACATACTTTTTAATATAAGTTTTAGTTTTAAAAACAATTAAGCTAAACTCGAGTATTGTCTGTTCCGAGTAATTTTATTTAATTAATTTTAAACATTCTAATTGTTTTTTTGTTTAATAAAATACGATTTCAAAAAACTGAGAACGTCTATCGAATTGCTACTTAGACGTGTCCTTTGTTTACTCACAAAAATTCCTGAAATAGAAAATACTCTCATACTTGCGACCAAATTATACTTAATTGTTTTTAAAGCCTGATATAATAATTCTAAGTTTTTTGTTCTTTGTGGCTTCTAGGGTTTAAAACTCTTTTTTTTTAAGTTTGAGTAGAGGAAGTTACTTTTTCAAGAAGAAGTCACACTGATTTAAATTAATATATACACTGGTATAAAAAACTAAATTAATATATACAAAACCTTTCTGGGAACCATTGCAGACTGATAAGATATGAAATGCTATTGAACCGATATGATTTCAAGAATCAAAACGCTTTCATCTATATTTTATATTTGGTTATATTTGTCATTTCCACATATACAGTAAAAACCGACTTTTTTCGCTAAAAACCGGTTTTCGAATTCCATAATTTTCGCCAAAAAAAACGGTTTTTGAAAACCGACAAACCCTAATATCTACATATCTACATATCTAGATGTAATGTTCAGTATTAACTGATATTTTAATTTTTAATAATTAAATTGGTAGAACTAAAACAGATTTATCTATCGCAAGTTAAGATTTTTTTAGCAATTATTTTCCAGACGCATACTGCTAAATCAGAAGTATCAACCAAATATTTTCTGTATGTACTATTATTTTCTATGTTTCTATCTACTTACAGAGCTATCGGGCGATGGTTTTGGAACTGGAGGAAAAGCGACTTCCCATTCGTGGTAAGGGTTGTAGACATCTCCGCAAGCGTCGCCAATTACAAATGAACAAATCTCATCGGGGCCAATACTCACACGTTCCAGGACATAGATGACTTCACCCTGAGGAGAATAGAATTAATAAATAAACTTGTTGGTATTAGTATTTTGCCTTGAAGCAAGTTACATGAACTTCCCGATATGTGTAAATAATCGACTTAATCAATAAAATAAAAATTTATGATTGATTAAAAGTATTCCTGGTGGATTTATTACACGCAACTGAAAATCTAATTTTAATTTTAACAAACGTCAAAAAACTACTTATTTTCTCAAACTTTGATGAATTTTTAAAATTAAACTACTTGTCGTAAGGCCGTAATATTTCAGTAAGTTCTCTAAGACCATGATATATATCGCCAAAAAAAAATTTCATAAAAATCGGCATATTTTTTTTCAACTATTATTTGCAAGAAAACGGCTAGAGAGATTTTCACATAAAACTAATCAGTATCATTCCCAACTAATATCTTTTGAACAGTTTTTGATTTTTTAAAATCGATTCGGTAGTATGAGCTTAAACGTGGACGTAAAGTTTAACACTTTTTTCCAAATTATAAAGAAACGGCTCGGCAGATCGTCGCACAAAACTGACAAACGCTAGTCCTCATCGAGATGCATCGAATGGCTTTTAAATTTTTGAAATCGGTCCAGCCGTTTATGAGAAAACGTCTATTTAGGGCAAAATATCTGTTCATATACACACACACACACACTTTTTCCAAATTTGGTCTCATTCGATTCAGAATGGCTTGAAACGTCGAAAAAACAAAATTAATGAAAGCATTAAATTAATTAAATTATAAAAATAATATTATATTTTTCTGTATCAAATCCGGGGCGTTAAACAAAAATATGCTAATCCGGGACGGGGAGATTGTTATTTATCATAAATAACTTAAATATTATTTAAAATAACAAATAGGGAAAATATGGCCTTATTTAAGAATTGATTAGTTTTATTAACGTTTCCGCGACTTGCATGAAGAAAGCCGCAATACGTAGTTCAAACGTATATAGCACCTTCAAAAGTTTATTTTGAGGGTGATTTTCTGTTTTTTTTTTTGAAGACCTATTTATTGATATACTTAATTATTCCAATTACAATCAAATAACTTATGTCAGAACTAGTAATTCTATCAATTTTAATAATAATAATCAGGTGTTTGCGGAAATTTTGATTAATCATTGATTTTTGTTCAATTCTGGACAAAATGACATGCTCAGACAATGAACAAAATGACAGTACTATTTTGCAAGCAAGGCCAAGAAAAAACTAAAACTTGTCAAAGGTCATTGGCTTTTAGGTTTTACTCCAAATAGGCAAAAAATAATTGCAAAAACAGGATAAAAGATACACCTGTGAAAAGAAAAGACGAAAAAAGAGTATTTGTTGTAAAATCTTTTTTTTTAATTAATATGCACATTTTTTCGGTTCAAATTTTAGTTGAAATATATTTGAAAAAATATTGGCAAACCGGGACAATCCGGGACAAATATTGCTAAAACCGGGACAAATACTGCTAAAACCGGGACCGTCCCGGCCAATCCGGTACGTATGGTCAGCTTATTAATAACCCAAAATAAAAACGTTTAATAACATAATTATTTTTCATACAATTCAATGTGAGTACAAAAACCTAAACGTAGTTCTAAATTACTTAATTATACTACATAAAATATACTTAATTACCTAAGCATAATTCAAATACTATAAAATAACATTTATAGGTGTGTATAAATATAAATATTTCATTAAACAAACTTTGAATGATTTAATTACTATACGGAACGATAAATATTATGCAAGTTTCTTGACCTATAATCAAAATTTAATTGACTTAATAAATTTTGTTTTCGTTCTAATTAATATTTGAACAGTCTGTATATACTGTTGTTTTATGATATATGATATCAATCTACTGACACGTTTTTTCTCCAATATTAAAGTAGAAAGTCAGAAAAAATCGATAATGTTTCTGTTTTACTACGATTGAGAGATATGTAACTTTCCTTTATTGAAAAAACATTTTAAATGTAATAAAATTAAAAACAGTATTTTGTAAAACGTATTGATAGTAGAATATTGTTCGATGGCTTTAATATCGCACCAATACGATTTGATTCGATTGGTTAATTTTTCCCAAAGAATTATTATTTTCAATAAACTATGAACATATATTAGTTCATATTTGGTAGTATGTGGCGCAAGAGCTATAGCCTTGGCCTTGCAGATAGCCAATCATTATTGTACAAATTTCTGTAAATTCAGCGTTGCGTGCAGCTCGGGATCAAGCAGTAGTGATGATATACATTTTCATAAAATATAGATTGAGTGAATAAATGTATATATATATTCGGTATTATGATGTGTATGGTAAAACTTTAAAATGGCTGTACGAATTTGGCCAGTCTTAGTCTTGAAAAATTTCTGTCAATCCAAAGATAGTGCAAAAGGTGAGATATTATTTCAAAGCCGCCTAGAAGCTTTACATTTTAAATTTGAAAATTTTTGTAGAAGCGTAATTCAAATGAAGCAACGGACGACGGCTTATACGTCAAATGTCAAATGGTTTTTACAAATTGATGTTCAATCACATTTAATAGGAAGATTTAGATGAATATCATTAAATTGTAGTAAGAGTTTTATTCATACCCACAAACAATATTAAACGAGCCTCAAGTGTTATCAGAAACTCAAAGCATCAACTTTTTCGAAATGTTAGTATGAAAATACACGTTATGGCTTTATTGCACTCCTTTTTCGCAAATCATTTTTTTTTAAGCCAGTACTCTAATAGAACTCATATATATAATTTTATACTCATTTGTATTTATAGAACATTTTCTAGATTATATTAAAAAGGACCGACTGAACCTGGCAAAAGTGTAAAAAATAAGATAATACTAAATACAAAAGTACCTTAAGTTAAAAAAGGAATTTTACAAGAGTTAAATTGAATTAATAATTTTTCCAACTTCGCTGATGAATATTCAGGAATAACTTTATGTAAAAAAAGTGCATTGTGCAAAAATGTAGCCAGGGGGTAAAAGGGAAAAGATGATATTTTTTTAGAAAAAAAGACTAACTGAAAAAATTTCTGTACATATTTTCATAGTTCGTTGTTTGACATGTGTTATATGCTTGAAAATTGTGTATCTTGTTTGGATTTTACAGCATGTTTACTGCTGACATGCTTATAAACTTATATATTGCGATGCTAAATGGGATATTTCACTCGCAGATGCACCTAATACAGTTCAACAATCAATCACGAATGATACAAGCGACGATATCGAGATTTTTCACCTCGATGGCTAACTAAATGTAACAAAATCGCATTTTTGTTTAGATTTTTATTTATATGCATAACACAGAAACGCGTGACCGGGCACCTATAGTAATATATAAAACTCTTTAATACCAAAATGTTCCAATTCAATTTAAATCAAATCAGTTTCATGGTGGCTCTTGCAATAAGCCCAAAGAGCATTTATATGAGGCATACGTTGCAGTGGGTAAACCATCCATTTAATTTGTGTTAGTTGCCTCTTTCACCACCAGTTATTTTTTATACTAAAGATTTTTTAGAAATATTTTTTATGGCTAAAAGTTATCTTATATATAAAAATGGATAGCAAAATGTGTTGCTAAGCGCATAACTCAATAACGCCTGGACCAATTTGGCCAATTCTTTTTTTAAAATGTTCGTTGAAGTCCAAGGATGGTTCTTACGACGAGAAAAAATCGAATAATTGACGGGAAACCCCTAAAAACAGTCCTTTTCTTTTTCACATACAAAATTTTTCTAACTAAAACTTAGAATCAATTTGAGCTTTATTGCTATTTTATAAAGTTCATATCATATTATATTATAAGCACTCACTGTATACTCCTAAACGGTTATTCGGATTTTGATAAATCTTTCTGAAGTTTGTTAAGGAAATTTTCTAGGATGTATGTGATTATAAAGTACTGGGATGTATGTGCAATATTGTAGAAATAATAGCATCTTTACTAATCTTTCCACAATATTTTTAAAATTCGTAAAAACTTCACTTTATAACAACAAACGGGAAAATAAAGATGAATACATACAATTCGGCCCTCATGATATCGATTAGGAGAAGTTTAGGATGCAATTTTGGATATCTTAAATAATAAAAAATTAAATTAATTTAATCCAACGTGAAATGCCAGTGTTATGTTATGTTTATGATTATGTTATACCGTTTAAAAAACTTCAATTTCCAATATAGTGTGGGAATTGAGACTCATCATTTTATTTAAAGCAGTTCTACATTTAACATCGCTCATATTATAAAAGTATATGCATTTTGGCGTGAAGAGTAATTTAAAAAACAAAAATTGTTGTTTTTAGGTAAACAGTAAGTCTTAGTATATTATATTAAAAATATGTAGAAATGGGTACAGGACAACGTCTGTTGGGTCATCTAGTTATTTATAAATATTTTTGTTACTACTATTTTGTATAATAGTAACTCTAAACTGTAGATGTTATAAGCAAGTGAGACATGCGGTTATGGTCTATACAAATGTTGCAATACACGAACTTTTACAATATAAACGAAAACAAAATGGTTTGTTAGGAACTTCGAACTTAATTTTAAGTATATTTTTGATCGCAGAACAAGTTCAGCTCGACTGATACGTTAACATGCAAAGCATCTATCTCGGCTTCATATACAATCGTGTCAGGTTTTTAGCATTATTGCACAAGTTCCATTTCGTATGGAGAAGATATTTAACTTTAGATACGTTGGTAATTTTATGGCTAGCGTGATTTTAATTTTTATTATTTATTATTTTTCATTGTCCGAGATGTCGACACGTCGCTCCACGTATCATCGTAGTTAATAATTATCCAGAAAATAATAGGCCATTGTCATAAGAAAGCGATTGAATAGAAATGAAAACAAAAACCAGTGTTCTGAATTATATGGTGGAAATGTTTATTTTACTTAATTGTTACGCAGTTTTTGTATACTTGATGAAATTATAACGTGTATGAAACATGCATGATTGCATATTGAAAAGTGAAATATTTATATTAAGGCCCAGAAGTAGTCTTTTATGTCATTATAATAAAATTTATTCGTGCTAAAGACAAAGAGTAGTATATCATAAATAAACAAATATATATATATATATATATATATATATATATATATATATGTTTTTGTTAGCTTTCGTAACCTTGGATGGTACTGCAAATAAACTATATATTTGCGTAATTTTCATTAACAAATACCGTTTGTATTTACTTAACAATAATATAACATCTGTTTCTCAATTGAAAATTTGTATTTAATAATAACTCAATTTAAAAACGTAAGTACAGTAGTTTTTTTCATTACAATAAATAAGCAATTATAAAAAATACTACAAAAGGCGCTTGTAAAAATGAAAAAAAAGTAATAGAAAAATTAAAAAAAAAATTGAATTAGCAAAAAAAAAAATAAACGATGTGGGTGAAAAATATGCTATATAACATATTCAGTAATTTTGATAGAAATTTCCTAGCAATATTATTACTGAAAATATTTACTAATTCTGTTCTGAATCATTTTTGAAAATATTCTTTCTGGGCATTGTTGCCCCGAATAATACAAGACTAGTAACTTACATGACAACAGATCATAAAACCCATAGTTCTGGTTATTGTCGATTCGCATTATTATGATAAATGTTCTAAATAAGAAATCGATTACTATAAATAAATTATACTGCGATTGGTGATGTGATTGATTTTCATCTATTGGATATTTTATAATAATAAATATATATAGATCACTCTACAATTTGCTTTATGTCATCTGCTCTCAGCATTCAGTATAATTAATTTAGCCGACTTCATTAATAATTGTGTCAATTATTAGCAAAATAATGTTATTAATAGTAAATCAGACGGCCAAAAATAATATCGATTGCCTGAATTGTATCAGATGCACGCACCTACAGGGTCACGTCCAGTATCAATCGAAAACTAGGGCCTGGTTATGACAAACAAGCAACTAGATGAATATCATAAGAAGTAAGAATCATTCTGCTGCACGAACTGGCCATTAAACATTGTTTTCTCAACAACGACGTGGAATGCGGTATTTTCATGTTTTGAAAGCAAGTTTTTCCACTTGTTTGTCTAATTTAGTACTAATAATGAGCGCATGCACAGACAATCAACTCTTTTCGATACCATCAGTACTATCTCTACTTTCGTTTTGTCATTCGAATGAATGCGATATTATTGTCACATTCTTTCCGCATTTCATTCTAGTTTCTTCCTAACAATAAAGATGTTACATATTATTATAAACTTGCTATATTCAGGTTTTAATACAAAGTATCCGAGTTGAGTGATTCAAAAAACCATTTTATTTGTATTGTCTAAATAAAAAACTGATTAATTTTTTGGGAATGCAGGTCCAGCAGTTTCGGAGATTCAATAAAAAAAGTAATGCCACTGGTCGGTCAATAGTGATCAAAGCAAGCGCTGCGTATCTGTTTTAGACACGAAATATCGGGTAAACATTGATACGGGACCCATAATGGTCCAGTCATTTTGTCGTTTTGCCGGTACAGTACTCCGCGAATTCTGAAAATTGGTAATCTTATAGATTTCGAGGTGCTCTTTACGAAAATCAACTTTGCCACCTCAAATTTGAACGGCAAGTTGCCGCCATATTGAAAAAATGGCGTCAAAAAACAGCTTTTTTAAAATATCTCCTTTCTGGCTCATTCTACGATAAAAGTATCTATGTACGAATTAAACTAGAGAAAAATTCCTACAATTCTTTAGAAAACCGTTTATTTGTAAAATTGATAGTTTGAGAATACGGCCGCCTCAAAGTCTTTGCTGCTCTCGCCGCAGTATCAAATCTCTCCATATATGACAGCACTTTGAACTTTGAACCAAACTATCCATTTTGTCAATACAAGTTTTTATTTTTTTTGAATATTCTTAACAGCAATCAGAACCTTACATCCTATGAGCTGTTGGGCTAAAACTTCTTTAAAGTTTCAGCGTTATTAAAATTAATCTAATAGGGCTGACTTTTTTTTATTGGTGCAGCAATGCCGGGTAAGGGTTATTTTCACTTGGAAACATATTGCTATCTATATTTCCAAGTAAAAATCGTTGTCACTGCTGCCTGACAACAGGCTGCTCGAAGTGGGTATCGAACCCGGGACCTCTGAACCAAGTCCCGTCGCTCTTAACCGCTTACCTACGGGCAAGCTCTGTCAATACAAGTGAAATGATTTTTGAAATATTGAAATCGGACGCTCCATTTTCTCAAAAACTTAATTTCCATTTTTGGAACTTTTTGTCTTGTATCTTCGCAACAGCTGGACCTGCCTTGGCCAAAAACTAATCAGCTGTTTACCCATATAAATCGAACGTTTTTTGAATCATTCAAATCGGTTGATTCGTGCTCTCGAAATCGTCGACGAAAAATTGTATTTACACAAACATACACACAAACACGCGCGCGCGCGCGTACAAGAAGATGCTGAGCACGTGTTCTTCGTGTGCCCGGGATTTAGTGCTCTACGGGACGCTGTAGAAGAGATATTGACTCGAAGATACTGTTGTAGAATTAATGTGGACAAAAAAAAAACACACACACACACGCATACAACTTTTTTTTCTAATGTATGCCAAAATGTCTAGAAAACTTAGTAACGTAAAGATATATAAGATTGTCGATTTTTTGCGATTGCTATAACTTACTCTAAGGGAAGTTAATTAAACCTAGATCAAATTTACATGTTATAGTTGGCCTCTATGAATTGCGGAAACAAAATTGCGGAACAAAATGTCGAAGCGACCGTGTTTGCGATCCATTTAAATTGGTTGATCTATAGTTTTTATATTTTAAATGATTTTTCTACAAATTACATATAAAATATCCAAATAATGTTACAAAAATCACAAATTATTAACTTACCGTAGGGCAAGTTATAGTAATTGCAAAAAAATCGAAAATGAAAATGTTTATATATCTTTACGTTTCAAAGGTTTCTGAATATTTTGGCATACCTTAGAAAAAATGGATGTATGTGTGTGTGCGTGTATGTATGTGTGTGCCAATACAAATTTTCGTCGACGATTTCGGGAACACCGATCAACCGATTTGAATAACTCAAAAAACATTCGATTCGTATTAATAAGGAGACGTGCTGATTAGTTTTTGGCAAAGGCAGGTCTAGCCGTTTCAAAGATACGGAGCAAAAAGTGCCAAAAATGGTAACTCAGTTTTCAAGAGAACGGAGTGTCCGATTTGAATAATTCAAAAAAACATTTTACTTGTATTGACAAGATAAAGAATTGATCAAATTTTCATAAAAGCAGGCCTAATGGTTTCGGAGATCTAATGAAAAAAGTAAAAGAAATGCCATTTGGCGGTCAAAAATGATCATTAGACATATGCACATCAAACTATCAGATATGTTAGAGATTTTAACAATAAGTATAAATTTTGTTTACATTCCTATGGATTTCTTACCAATGTTTATCCGTCAGGCGGCGACGCGGCGCTTACGCGCTATGACATTTTTCAGAATTCAAAAGTTCAGAATTTTCAAAATATGTCAAAATGAAGAAAACATTTTTTTTTTCAAAAAAAAATATTTTTTTTCAAAAAAAGTAATTTTTTGTCAAATTTATAGTTTCTCAAAAATCTAATTTTTTTTTAAATAATTTTTTTTCAAAAATGTTGATCGTTTTTAAAAAAATAATAATTATTGGTACGGGAAGTTCCAGCAATTTGCCTTAAGGCACGATGCCGTAGGGTAAGTTATAGTAATCGCAAAAAAATCGAAAATGAAAATTTTTATATATCTTTACATTTCAGAGGTTTCTGAATATTTTGGCATACCTTAGAAAAAATGGATGTATGTGTGTGTGTGTGTGTGTGTGTGTGTGTATGTATGTATGTATGTATGTATGTATGTATGTATGTATGTACGTGTGTGTATGTATGTGCGATTACAAATTTTCGTCGACGATTTCGGGAACACGGATCAACCGATTTGAATAATTCAAAAAACATTCGATTCGTATTGATAAGGAGACGTGCTGATTAGTTTTTGGCGAAGTCAGGTCTAGCCGTTCCAAAGATACGGGGCAAAAAGTGCCGAAAACGGTAACTCAGTTTTTAAGAGAACGGAGCGTCCGATTTTAATAATTCAAAAAACATTTTACTTGTATTGATAAGGTGAAGAACCGATCAAATTTTCATAAAGGCAGGTCCAGCGGTCTCGGAGATCTAATGAAAAAAGTAAAAAAAAATGCCATTTGGCGGTCAAAAATGATCATTAGACATATGCACATCAAATTATGAGATATTTTATAGAGATTTTAACAATAAGTATAATTTTGGCTTACATTCCTATGGGTTCCGTACCAATGTTTACGCGTTAGACGTCGACGCGGCGCTTACGCGGTTTGATATTTCGTCTTTATGCAGTTAAAGCAGTACGATTGCTTTGAAAAAAAGTTTAGATCTTTCAAAATATGTCAAAATAAAGAAAACATTTTTTTTTCAAAAAAAAAAAATTAAAAAAAAAAATTAAAAAAAAATTTTTCTTTTTCAAAAAAAAGTAATTTTTTGTCTAATTGTTTGTCAAAAATCTTATTTTTTCGAAGTAAATTTTTTTCAAAAAAATAATAATTTTTGGTACGGGAAGTTCCAGCAATTTGCCTTGAGGCACGATGCCTTAATTGCCTTAAGACAGAATTCCACTTACAGCTAGTTTTCACGATATATTCGACTAAGTCGCGGTGCGCGTACTCACCCCGAACAGCTGACTGACGCCTTCGCAAACTCGCGCCGTCTGTATCTTGAGCGAGACGCAGAACTGGTAAATCATCTTAATTATTTCCTCTTTCGACTTCCCAGTGCGTATGTAATGCTGCAACAAACCAGCTCCTGTAATTCAACATACAACATTAACCTTCTAATCATCAACTCGATATGTATGGAAATTACGATATAAAAGAGCAAAGATCGGAACGAAGAAACTATTCTCTTTGAATATATTTCAATTATCCCATCAAAAATGAAACGCCAATGAGATGAAAATGACACCTGAACGAAATAAGGCATCGTTTTTGCGTCCATGTGCATTGAATTGATTTGTAGATAAACTTAATATATATACGATTTAGGTATTTTATAATACTAATAATGTTAGTACTACTAATATACTGTAGAAGAATTTTAGTTCACTTGCTGTGTTGTGATCACGCGTAGCTGTGTTATATTTATAATTAAAAATCTAAACAAAAATTTCGTTTTTAACATACATATGTATATATTTTGAACACGCAATATCAGTGAACAATTTTAAATATATAAATTCTATGGTTTGACAATACATATTATGCGTACATATTCTTGTTTATATATGTAAATTTAATTGACTTGTATGATTTTTAATTATATAATGTTTGATACAATTGATTTTGAGTATTATAAAAAAAACATATGATGAATATATTTAATTACAAGCAGGAAAATCCACACCATGTAATACCCAAAACGCAATTGAATATTTCGGTATATATATTGGATGTCGCAAATCAAGCAATATTGGCTTGAATATTGGCAAATTTCCATCTTCTGTCAGTTTTAAAACCATCCCATTGAGGACTGCACGTGTGGCTTGGAGATTGTCTTTATATGGTGTTACATAATACGCCATTACAATAGCAGGCATGCTATTATACAAAGCTCCATTAAACCGAACAATTTGATTACAGTCCTTCAAATTCATACCAAATACTGTTAATGTTGAGTTATTCAAACAACGTGCACTATTTGGTGTACAATGTGCATAAAGCCGAATAAGTCCATTAGAGTGGCTTTGTGACTTTAAAACTCGTTCACCCACAAACATTTTATGTAGTATAGCGATCCAAAAATCTGGTAGTGGTTGCATTTGTTCTGAAATCATTATGTATGCAGCCCCGTATAAACTTTGTCTTATAACTGCATCTATTCCAAGTTTTGCAGACAATCCTAATTTATCCAAGTATATAAAACTACCAGCAAATGTATTTGATAAGTCAGGCGCACCACCTTCATAAGCTGAACCAGTCTCAGATAGCCATATTGGCATATTTGTAGATCCATACTTGGAAATTATTTTTTTCACAATTTGAATTTGATCCTGAAGTAAATTAAACATATTTGGATCGAGAAAGTTACTAAGAACAGCTTTCCTACCGCTCATATAATACTGGTGCCAAGAAAACACATTTATATTGCCATTTGATTCAGCTACAGTAACGCTATCATATGAAAGAGGTCTAGTAGTTTCTGGACCAGTAATTAAGGATCTTGAATACCGAGGGTATCTAGATAAAATCTCCCTCAACGTTTTGTAATCTTTTGCAAGTTGTGCAGCTTCGACAGGTGCTCCAAAAACATGTTTAAATGAATTAGGTTCATTTCCTAATTGCCAATTAATATCTAGATTGTGAGTATCACAAAATTTTAGTATGTCCTCAGCAGTTTTGGAACACCATGTGTTATTACTACGTAATAGTACATTCAGATCAAATAATAATGTTAAACCTGTTTTACTTGCAAAATTAGCTATTTGCAGCAAATCTTCGCCTGTTAATATTAGAATATCATCAGACTCTGTTTTTTTGCAACCTCTATGTTCGTAAGAGCAAATACTATTATCAAATAACATATCAACTTTACTTTTTAGGTTAGAACCATTTTCTATGAATAATAATAGGCGATCGGACAAAGTTCCTCCAAATCTCAAATAGGCGGGTGCAAGATGTCTAATGAAGTGTGAGGTAGAATCACCGCTGAGGTTCAAATATCCAAAGTTTCTTCCAAGGAGTGAGGTGTCTAGTCCAAAACTAACAAACTTTTTAGAAATGATATGAGATGGCTGATTATTTCTGTCCAGTGTGAATAAAAATTCTTTATGGTAAATCAATGAGGGTGACACATACCAACATGTGATTATCACAAGTAGCAACACGATTAATAGCCGAAATGATCGACTTTGTCCTTTCAAACACAAGCATGGTTCTTTAATAATTGGATCCCTTACTTCAAATGCATGTTCTATTAGAAGTGGATCTGTTTCCGAAGGGCCACTTTTCGTGTTTTTCCGCATTTTAATAAATATTCCATACAAAAAACAGTAACATATAAAAAACACATACAAAAATTAAATAATAATAACTCTTTTAAATAAAAAAAAACTTTGACTTGATTTAAAAAAATTGATAGTCATATTTTTTAGTATTTAAATTTCATTTGCATTGGTGAGAGTATTTTGTTTATTTGTCATTTGTCATTGATGAGTATTTGTCAATAATTCCATTATTTTTGTTAGATAGTTGTCATTAATTATGACTTAATAACTATGATTGAGCTGCATTTGTTATATGTACATAGCTGTTATGGTGGAAAATAGCAAATGTAACTGGTGGTTGAGCGATATTAGAAGGTTGGCAAAATAAGCTTTACATAATGTGGAGAAGTCAAATTACATATATTTTCAATTTCAATTTTAAAGAAAAATTTTAAAGAAAAAGCAAAATATTGAAAAAAGTGTAATTTATACCAAAGATCAAATTTGACTTGTGGCAATAACACTTTGAAAACCACAACAACTACGCCACAAATAACAAATATCAAATAACACATATCAAACAAAAAAAACTATCTAAATACGTCCAGTTAAATTCCCAGCTAATATTCTGCTATGTTTCAAAAATTGTCGTCGCATTGCGGAGTAAAAAGAGACAGTCCGGTTGCAAATAATAACTATTTTAATATTAAGTCTGAAAGGTTTTCACGGAATCAGTGGCGTACCTAGGGCGGTCCGCCCCGGCGGCGCTTATTTTGGGGCGGCATTTTTTAGTTTATTTATACATAGTTGTAAAAAGCAACTTATTCATTTCATATTTATTTCGTAGGGTAAGTTATAGTAATGGACCAAAAATCGAAAATGAAATTTTTTACATTTTTTCACGTTTTGAAAGTTTCTGAACATTTTGGCACACCTCAGATAAAATGGAAGTGTGTGTGTTTTGTGTGTCCGCATTTTTTCGTTCACGTTTTCGGGCGCCCCGATCAACCGATTTGATGGTACAGAAAATAGAAATCGAGTTTTTGAGAGAATGAAACATCCGATTTGATTGATGCAAAAAACTTCAATTTGTAATGATGAGGAGAAGTGGTGATTAGTTTTTGGCAAAGGCAGATCCAATCGTTTTGCAGATACCAAGCAAAATGTGCAAAAAATATCTGTTTTTGAGAGAACTAAGCATCCGATTTGAATGATTCAAAAAACTTTCTACGTGGATTTTAATTTGAATTCTACCTAAAGTTCAAATGCTTACTTATATACTTGAAATAAATAATTTTAACTTTGTAATTCAGTTTATATATTTCTTATAAATATTAGACAATGCCCTTTATTTCAAATTTGATTGATTGAGTTTTGTTTATTTACTTTTATATTTATATTTGAAAACATTTAATTTTCCTCGAATATATCATTACAGTACGGGAAGTTCCAGCAATTTGCCTTAACTTACAATGCCATACACCACTAGTTAACTTCCCCAAGGAGAAGTTTATGTTTTCATCAAAAAATCCGAATTGCTAATTTTATGTTTTCTCGACGTTTCAAGCCATTCTCAATCGAATGAGCCCAAATTTGGAAAAAGTATGTGTGTGTATGTGAACAGATTTTTTGTCGTAAATCGTCGTTTTCTCAAAAACGGCTAGACTGATTTCAAAAATTTAAAAGCCACTCGATGTAACTCGATGAGGACTATTGTTTATCAGTTTTATGCGACGATCGGCCAAGCTGTTTCTTTATAAATCGCAGAAAAGTGAAAAATTTTTCGTCTACGTTTTAGCCTGCAATTCTGAATTGATTTTGAAAATTCAAAAACCGTTCGAAAGATATTAGTTGGGAATCGTGCTGATTAGTTTTTGGTAGAGATCGGCCGGGCCGTTCTCTTAATAAAGTTTAAAAAAAAAAATTTCGACGATTTTTATGATCATCTAAAATATTACGGTCCTACGACAACTGGTTTAGCTTTAAAAATTCGTCAAAGTTTGCAAAAATTAGTATGTTTTCTTGGCATTTGTCAAAATTAGACCTTTAACCGACGTTTTCTCAAAAACGCCTGAACCGATTTCAGAAATTTAAAAGTCATTTGACAAATAGTTTAATTTTAAAAATTTATCAAAGTTAGAGAAAATGTTTTTTTGACGTTTGTTAAAAATAAAATTAGATGATTTAGTTGGTATAACGATAGTGTACTTGGCCTTGAACATAAAAATTGAACATAATAAACTATTAAAGTCCTACGGAAACTGGTTCAATTATAATTATTGATTAATTAAATTTATTGATTATTGAAAATTTGCTTTTAGAAAATACTCCGAGTTAACGTGTTTGTTCGTTCGTTTGCAATGATGTGTAATAAATCCACTCGGAATAATTTTAATCACTCATAAATTAATTTATTTTTTATTGATTAAGTCGATTATTTACACATTTCGGGAAGTTCATGTAACTTGCCTCAAGGCAAAATACCAGTATCAACTAGTTTTCTATCTTGAATTATAAATGATCATTATGATTGTTATTATTGTCAATATTTGATTTATATAAATTATGATTAACCATATGATTTAGAATTTTATTCCTCGGTGTATATAAATGTATATTAGTGTAAATTTTGAATTCTAATTTAAGAACAGGTTAATAATTTTATTTCATTGTATTCATTAAAATTTGTTGAATTCGTATAAGCATCTTTACGATTTTGTTCAGCGATTTTTACTATTTTTTATATCAGCTTATATATGTCATTTCTTTTGAAAAGTTTATATAATTACTTTGAAGTGATTTATCAATATTTTTTTAAATCATT